CTCGTCTTCACTCCTCCTATATCCGCAGCAGCCGCAGCCGCGTGCGGGGGGCCGCCTCCCGCCTCCCTCTCCCCCCTCTTGTGGCCTCCACCCCCGCAACGTGACGGGCAGTGGAGGAGGGGCCGGACTGTCGCCATCGACGCGTGTGGCCGCATGTGCCCCCCGCCTCACTCGCAGCAGCAGCGGCGGCGGCGGAGAAAAAAGAAAAAAAGAAAAAAAAAAAAAATGAAGAAAGAAAGAAGCAAGAAAAAAAGAACAAAAAAAATCCGTTTTGAAAGTACCTCCCGCCCCCGCGCCCCGCTCCAGAGAATGCAGGCCGGTCTCCCCCGCTCACTGAGGAAATCGTGCCGACCCTCGCCTCTTCTCCGGAGAGAAGGGGGAAAAAAAAAAGGAAAAAAAAAAGACTTGCTTCTCCCACACTGCACCTAAGAACACCGCACGGCATCAATTTTAGCCGCGTTTTCTCTCACATTCGATCATGTCGCTGCAATCAAATATCCACGTCTCCGTCCATTGTGCACAAAAAACATGTAGCTCCACATGTACACGTGCTGGTGCAGGCAAGAACAAAAAAAAAAAAAAAAAAAAAAGTTGAATGCGCGTACACACATGAAAGGGATGAATAAAAAAGAGATTTAAAAAGCCGTGCATCCAAACAAAAGGATGTAAAAAGAAAAAAGAAAAAAAAAAAAAAAAGAATTTGTCAGCTGCCTCAATCCGTTGGATGTCAGCATTCGTTTAAAACAGGTCATCTGAGGGTTATAATACACTCCAGTGTTGCCACTCCCTCCATTTCTCTACATCCTCATCTCTGTACCAATTTCTCTCTCTCACGCATATCTCATGCACGCCTGTGCACACTACCAATAAAACACCAAAATTTCCTCACGCATTCAATAAGAGGTGTGCCTTATGGAAGAGATACACCGGGAGAGAGAAAGTGAGAAAAGAAATACGAGAGTCGGCGTATAAGTACACAAATGCATGTGACGTCAAAAAGGAGGATTACCACAATACCACGCGTTCCCACTTGCCACCCCCACCCTCACCCACCCGCACTCACGCCGCCCGCAGTTAGTAATAATACATACACATATATCTCTCTCCATATGCGGCCAAGAAGAGAATAAACTTCGGAGGCGGAGACAAAAACACGCGAGTACATGTAGAAGGCAACAAATGCCCTCTTGAAAACACAAACACACACACAAAAAAAAAAAAAAAACAGACACATACATACACATCACCTGCCCCAAACATACTAACCAGTGGCACGTGTACCCGTGGGTGTAAGAATTGATAGAATTGTCACCTTCCAACGGCACCGTACAAGCAATCAACAACAACAACAAAAAATAATAATAATAATAATAATAATAATAATAATAATAATAATAGCAATAATAACAAATTTTTCAGGTTAAAGAAAAAAAAAAGGAAAAAAAAAATTCATGGTCAGAAATCACGCCCAGGATGGCTTTAGTGATTCTGTGGATCGTTTTTTCTATAAAATGTTGTATGTTTTGCCTATCCACTAAGAGCTCCCCCCCCCACCCCTTTCTTTTTTTTATCTTTCCTTCTGCCCTCTCTCTCTCTCTCTCTCTCAGCCAGTAATCGTGTCATCAATAGACGCGACGGTGCCAAACACAATACCAATGACCCCTGCAATTAACAACGCGTATGTTGCGATGTAGTCAAATAACCCAACAGATCTCAATGTCCAGTTCCCTGAGTAGAGGTAGAACAGTGCGGGGAAGACAAAGGACAGGAAACCACCGCAGATGGCACCCACAAGACCAAAGACGGTATTAATGTTTGGAATAAACAGACCACACAATAAGACAACCGTCGAGAGAGCAATAACGGCAATAAAGTGCTTCCAGTACGGAAGGGTCTCTACCTCCCAGCTGATGCAATGATAAACGGCATTGCGGCACGCCATCGTTTGTAATGCGTAAGCTGCACACAATTTGACAAGCATACCGGCGTATCCCGCCATCACCATTGGTTCAGTTACAGGATTGTACATGAGTAAGATGGAATTTTTAACCTTCCCTCCAAATTGTACATATCCGAAAAAGACAGTCATTATGTACAGTATAAGACAGAGTATCATTGCAATGGTTGAGTAAATAGTAAAATTCTTTACTGAACGCTTCTTCATCTCCCAATAAACCTCATAACAATTAATTTGGCACAAAAAGGAGAACATGAACACTCCGAGTCCATGAATAGCTGCATTACCTGTGTTGAAAAGTCTTATTGGGTCTTCACCGTCGCCGTAAAGGTTACCAAGACCATTCCGAGCTGACTGAATAACGAGCATAATCACAAAGTACATCACAAAGGCAACAGCAAACGTCGAAACATATCGCAGGGAATTCACCTTCTTTGGTAACACCAGCGGAAGCATTAAAACAGCCCAAACCGCAGCCGTCAGCAAACGACGCCCTGCGGTCCTCCTTAAAAACTGTGGCGTTCCAGATGCATTCATGAGAATCGGCTCCAAAATGTCGCCAACGCTGATGACGTACGCAATGGTGGCACCGAATGAATTGATCCACCGAATAAGGGCAACAAAGTAATCAAAGCGGTCCCCCACCAATTGCTTTGCCATGCTTTCAAAGGTACGAAGGCCTGTCTTCTCCATTGTCTTGCCGAGAATGTGCAGGGAATAAATGGCAAAGCAGGTGATGACCAGCAAATATATAAAGGCCATAACCAACCCGCTACTATTAGCGGCAGCTGGCAGGCCAAGAATACCCGCCCCAACGCAAACAGAAGCCAAGTTGAAAACGCTTGAAACAAGTCCACCGTATGGCACAACAATGCCTGTAAAGGCCTTTGCGCGGCTTAAGCAAGTTTCGGGCTTTCTTTCCTGCTGTACCTCCTCCGCACAGAGAAAATAATCATTTCCATCGGAGTTAGAAGGGCTGCGCTCCGCTCTCTTCTCCATAGCTTTAAACTCAATCTCCAGTGGGTAGTAGCCCCCAGGAGTTGAGTTGTTAGGCTCCCGATTATCTTCCATTTTTAGTAGAATATTCCGTTGATGGCTAATCCCTGCCCTTATTTTTTTTTTTTTCGTTTTTTGCTTTGTTTTGTTTTTTTGTTGCTGTTTTTTTTTTTTTTGCGTGAGTGTTTTTCTCCTTCTGTTTTCTCCTGTTCTCGTTTTAATGTTCCCTCGTTGCCCTCTTTTCTCCCTCTTCTCGGTGTTTATTTTACCTTTTTTTACAACCTCCTTTCCTCTTCCCCCCCCCCTCTCTCCCTCTTTTTTTATTTTTTTGGTTTTGTTGTTTTTGTTGTGTTTTTCTTCTGCTCTTTCTTTCCTTTTTTTTTTTTTTATTATTTGTCCCTTTGCTTTCTGTCTGATCCAATTATTTTTTTTTTCTTTTTTTTTTTTTTTCTTCTCGGTTCCCCTTTTTTGTTTGTTTGTTTTGTTTGCCGCGGCTGTTCGTGTGTGTGCCCCTCCCTTTTGTTTTTAAGGGGACACTTTTGGACTGAGCCCTGATCCTCTCGCTCCTTCGCCCCCTCTATTATCTGCCACCACCACCACCACCCCCTTTTTTCGCTGTTTCTTCGACGGGGCTTGCGAGCAAACGCTTGGAAGTAATTCACGAGAAGGACTTGAGTTTGGCTGATGCGTCCTTCTTTCTTCTTCTTCTTTGGTTTGGTTTCTTTCTTGCTTGTTTGGTTATTCTTCCACTGCGGCTCCCCGTTGCGTTTTCTTTGTTTTGCTTCTTTCTTTTTTGTGCGTGTGGGTCTGAATAGCAGATCTGTGGGGAATCGAGTAGAGGGGGGGAGGGGAAAAAGAGAGAGAAAAAAAAAAAAGGAAAAAAAGAAATGTGGGACACGCCGGCAGAAAACAAAAGCACACGTCTTATCATCTCACGCAATACAGCTCTCCGGTGAAGGAGTCATTTCTTTTTTTTTTTTTTTTTTACGGTGTGTTTATGTATGTGGTGGCATTTTTCCCTTCTTGTCGTGAATCTTCTTGTTGCCTTTTGTTTTCCCACCGCCGATGCATGCATCGATGCAGTCGGGGAGGCGGGACACGATTCCATGGCGGTGGGTGGGCTATGAATGCGCTCACTAAGAAGTCAGATCCGGTCTGCTCTCACCGTACATCGCGTGGAAGCGATCCCATCCACCACGCAGGACATACACGGACAGTGCGCACATCCCCTTTTCGTACAACTTCACGGCAAATCGGTTGGCTGCCTTTGGGCCTCGAACCTGCGAAAGGGCGCAGTGAAAGACCGCAATGCTCCTGCCCTCCCTCTCCAGGGTGTCCGCAAGTTCATTGAAGCGTCCTTCCGACTGCAACCTCGACGGAAAATGAATGGAGCCCAAAATAAAGCCGTCGCTGCGGTCTTCGTCGCGGCAGTCAATGACGGCGACTTTATTGCGCTGCACCTCGTCATCCAAGAGAGCGACAAGCTCGGATGGTTCCATGTACATGTAGTTGGCGGTCATTGCCTCCGTGGCACTGGGCACACGGTGCGTGAAAGGATGATTCCGCAATAGGGACGTATACACCCTGCAGGGGAAAAAGGCGTGAAGCCGGCCACAGTCCCACGGCCCTCTGCAAGACCATTGATGACGGCGAGAAGAAAAAAAAGGACATTTAAGCACGCAGAGCCAAAAAAAAAAAAAGAGAGAAAAAGTCAAAAGCAGAAAAAATGATTTCAGAGCAGGAAGCGCATATGACCCCCAATCACCCACACACTCACATGTGCACAACAACACAAAAGTATAAAATAAGCAGAAAAAAAAAAAGGCGCCAAATTGTTCCTCTTCCCGCATGTTCTTTCATTTGAGTTCTTCTGCTTCCTTCTCGCTGCCGCCGTTTTCCGGATTTTGGTGCTGTTTTCTTTTCACAGATCAAAAATAAATAAAAAAGAGAGAGAGAGAGAAAAGCACAGCTTTCGCCGCCCAGCACTCGTGGCATCCTCCCCATGCGTGTGGGAAAGAGCAAGGAAGGAAAGAAAAAAAAAAAACGCAACAAGATCAAACAAAAGGCCCGCGAGAAGAAAGGCAACAAGAAACACAGCAAGCCACCCTTTTCAGTGGTCATAGCAGATTCATCAAGGGCAGCATGAATGTACCCCGGATGGGTGGGAGAAGACGCTGGGCATTCTCATCCTCCAACCAACGCCGAATTTGCCGCTCCACCGCAACACGCAACCCTGAAAGATTCACCACAAAAACCGCCGCCAGATCGTATAGCATGTCGTACGTACTAAGAATAAGACGGAATATAGGCCGTTCCTCAAGCACACGAAACCCCATGTAGAGTGTTGCGGCAATCTGAGGGTAAAGCATCAAGAGCATTGGACGAACGTGCTGTGCATATTGCGGCAAAATATACGGCTGCAGAGAGCAAGCCTCTAGGCGTTGCATGCGGTGTTCGCACTCTAGTTGTCGCAGGTGCTGGGTCGCCACATCCACATATCTCTGATGATACGACTCGCGCAGCTTAAAACCCTCCGGGCATTCCGTGTAGGGCACCACGACGTTGTCAAGCAAGCGAGAGCCTTCGGATTCATCGTTATCTTTGCGGAAACTCTTTGAGTTCCCCGGCGTATTCATTGCTGTGGAAAACGATGTCTCTTCATTTGCCAGGTCAGCGACAGAAGAAAAGGAAGAGCACTTCTGCTGCTGCCGTATCTTAGAAGATAAAGACGGCATTTTCTTCTCTAGTTCCACCTGCCGCGGTGTGCGTTGCAACTCATCCAGCTCCCACTTCCGCTGTGCCACGCGGTAGTACATATCACGCATGTCCTGCTCCAAAAAGGCAAAATCAACGCACTCATTCCCATTTCGCACAAATTCCTCAACCGTCATGCGATTGTTCCTCATATTTTCATTGTGAAGGCTTGTGTGCAGGAAGAGAAGCACGCCGGCCATTGCATCGGCGTCCTTGACAGTGATACTGCGCGGGTTTTGTGCCGCGTACGCCTCACCAAAGCGCCTCTGAATGACGGCCCACACTTGGGCCTCAAATGTAGGCCGCTCCCACGACATGAATTCACACGTGGTGTCGCGTAATGCGACGTCAATCGTCACCCCCTTGTATGGAAAAAGTTGCATGTACTCTCTCAAAATTCGGTCGCAGTCGGAATCCTTTAAAACTCGCTCAAAAATCGAACACAACGCAGACCGCTCAATCCCGGGATATGTCTTGAGAAAACGAGCGAAATCTGACCACCGTGTTGCCTCGTCTGCGTGTGAAATGTACCCACGCTGCTCGAGCAGCTTCATTCCATCTCGCCAATGCCCCCTATTAATGTACTGCATAGCTTCCTGTGCAATGCGCTTGTTCTGAAGCAGGCAGTGAACATGCTTCCAGTGGTAGCCAACCCTGTGGGGTTTACCCCAATTCTGCGGCTTCCCCCTTCCATCTCCCTTCAAGGAGGCGGCGGAAGCGGAGGAAAAGGACGAGGAGGAGGAAGAACTTAAATCAGCCGATAACAATTCTGACGTGCCAGTCCCCTTTCCATTTCCGCCAGACCCCCACCCGTTGCTGAGGTACATCTCATGCCACCGACGAACTCCTTGACAGCCAACGCTGGATTTGCTGAGCGCCTGCCCCACCACTTCACGCAACTGACGCTGCGTGTACTCCCGAGGATCCTCCGAAACCCACCGAAGCATGGAATCCACTAGGCTGTGCATCGCACTCACGCATTCGCCTCGCAACAACTGCTGTTGATCTAACGAAAGCCACTCGGGGTCAAAAAAGTCCATATACGTCATCTCCACAATAAAGTCCACTAGGAGTTCAAGCATGCCGCCATACTTTGCCGCCGGATCAAAGGCGGGATTACAGTCGTAGTTGATAAAAAAAGAAACGCAAAGATGTGGAATACTGACAAGCTCCCGAACCATACTCAACACTGCATGCTTCTGAGAAAAGCTCGAGAATTTGGAAACCGCCAGAGGAAAAAGCATGACGGCTAAAAGAGCATGGAGCTCCCTGGCAAGATGATAATGAAACTTTCGCAGCAGCAGAGTGAGAATGCGCACACTTGTGGTAAAGAACGAGGAAGGAACAATCGTCGACAGATTTCGGGCAATGCAGCGAAGAAGGTGATACTTTGTTGCGGCGACCACCATAGTCAACCACGTGGCGCAAGTATGTTCGGCGTCGCAGTTTGCCATGGGAATCTCCAGGAACAACGACTCTAACATCTCCAGTGCAATTTGACGGACACGAACTTCGGGATTTTTTTCACTCGTCGATCCCGATCCACTGCAGGTCCTTGAGGCTAGTCTGCAGACATATTTGATGAGCAATAACATGTCCTCCAATGCACGTGGTAGTTTTCCGCCTTGAAACACGGACAGTGCACTTGCTACAATTGAATCGCTACAACTATATTGCAAAAACTCCCGTGGTTGGAGTGAGCCGGCAGAGGATGATGCCTCTTCGGCCGCATATGAATTAAATGGGCCAAGTGGCGGGGTTTTGTCCACGGAGTTCACTACATCGTCGGTGAAAGGAGTGGCATAACCCCCAATTTGAATGGGTGTAAATTTGGCATCCGGCTCCACATCCTGCATGCAATCGTATAGCCTCGTGGAAGAAGCAAATGTACCGCATCGACGCTCCGATGGTGTGGCCTCCACAAAGGCCCGCGTCACTCGAAGAACGCAAAGAACAAACACATCACGCGCAATAATTCTTGCGGCCTCGTTCGAGCTCTGCAGCGTCACCTGGTAGCATGTCCGCACACAGCGGGTAACGCAACTTCCAGTGAGGTAAGCAAAGTTGTCGTCACTCACAAGATCATGGAGGACCTCCAAGCCTTTCAGCTGCAACGCCGCGTCGGCGGTGTTGACGAGAAAGTCATCTACAGCACAAAACAAAGCCTCCCCACAGCGCAGCGCCTGTTTATTTCGCTGATACTGATATAATATAATCGGTGTGTCGTAGGAGATGCGGCAGTCGTGAATCAACTGCTGCAGCACAGACAGGGCGGCCCCCACCACACGAGTCTTTTTAACATAAAACGCGCTGAGAAGAGCAGACAGGACGGGTGCGGCGACAAAGTTGGCACGCCCCTCCTGCGCCACCCGCGTAAGTTCCTCCATCGCCACCAAAGCCTGCTTCAGCGTCTCTCTGAATTCTACATCTATTGTCACGCCACCGCCTGTGGTGCGTCCAATCATTCTAAGAAACGAGTTCAGTGCCTCCAGGGAAAGACTCATCCTCAGCGCTACTCTCCCGTGTGACAAGTGAGAAATGAGGCGCTCTCTTCGCCTTGAACTTTCCACCACCACCACCACCTCCTCCTCCTCCTCCTCCTCCTCTGTGTGTGTGTGTGTGTGGTTTTTATTCGGTATTATACGCCCCTTCGCTAACCCACTCACAGACACAAACAGCGCCCATAAAAAAAAAAAAACGAGGGAGAGAAGGGAGAAGGCAATTTGTGAAGAGGGCAATAATCCTCCAAGTTGAAACTCACATGTGCGCTCATATCAACAAGACAATCAGATTAAAAAAAAAAAAAAGGCCCTGGAATGTGAAAGTTTATATATATATATATATAATTATTTTTTTCTTAATGTATATAGAAGAAAGCCTTTAAAAGTTATATAAAAATAAATAAAAAAGGTTTCTTTAAATTTCAACCGCGTGCAGGCAACGACATCGTTATGTGCATGCGTCGCCAGGATGGCGCGTCTAACTTCCGTAAAGGAGAGCAAAAAAAGGTGGGAAACGCAGATGAGAGCTGCCCCACCACCAGAAGAAAAAAAAAAAGGTGATAAATATGAACGATAATTTAAAAAAATAATAATAATACCACCCTTCTAGTTTTGTGAGAGATGGGCGTACTTTGCGAGCAGCTCCATCGTCTTGGCCCACACCTCCTCTTCGAAAGAGTTCTCCTGTTGTGGGGCACATTCCACCCTGCCCGGGATGCGTGGCGTCATTGGTGGCTGCGTAAAGGGTGCCAACGGTAACTGTGACGGAAATGGAGCCGCCGTGACGTGGTTCCCCGATTGCGTGGGTGTTGCGAGGCGCTGACTGGGAAGAGGCGACGCACCCTTCAAAGATGAGGCAACTGAAATCACGTTTGGCATGTAATTTGACTCGTCCAAAACGATGGACTCAGCTGCCTGCACCTGCACAGCTTTCGTGGAGCGTCCGCATGCACGTCGCTCCTCCAAATGACTCAACGTGTCCAGTCGCTGCTGAAGTTCCGCGATGTTTGCGTCGCGAAGCCTGACAAGTTCTTCCGCGCGCTGCACGACGGCCTCCTCAAACTCTAAGCTGCGGCGTTGTAGACTCGATTTGAGGCGCAGGCATGTCGTAGCGTGGTCGGAGCGTTCCTCCTCCAGCTGACGGCCCAGTGCCTCCGCCTCCTTCCGGCTGTCAACAAGCAGCGCCGTATATTCCTCAAGGGCCCGCTCATGAATTGTCCCCCTGAGTTCGTCACCCCCGGCTGCAGCGACATGAAAAGCATGAAGCTCATCACGCAATGCACGAATCTCCGCTTCGTACTGCCGTGCCGTCCGCATGCGTTGACGCTCACTCAAATTCAGCTCCTCACGTAGTTCACGACACACCGTCTCGCGTTCCTTGTGTGTGTAACGCAATTCCTCTGTACATTGTCTAATGTACTCTATGACCACAGATGCGAGGTGGCGTGCCAACAGTTCAAAGCCGCGCTGCACCGACTGACGCACCACCGTCGGTACATCGTCGCCCGCCTCCACCTGCAGCAGATCCCTAAGCACCACGTCGACCGCCTCACTTAACAACGCGGCACACTTCTCATTCATCACTGCCACCACACCGGCGATGGCGGTGTCGACTCCCGATGGTGTTGAAAATTTCGTGCTTGTTTTCCGTATGTCACCGCTTCCGTTGCCGTTGTTGTTGTCTCCGCCACTGCCAGCCGTGAGTGCAGGTCCGGACAACGTTGCCAGAGCTGCTGGTAGCATGGACAAATCAACACCCTCCAGTGCAATCAATTCACGGAGATTTTTAAGGGCTATTTTGGCCTCTTCCGCCTCCTGCTTATATTTAAGAATCATTGCCTCACTTTGATTGCGATGCGCATGCACAATAACATCCACCTGAGCAAGAACATCATTCATGTAACGCTCTCGCTCCTCTTTGCTTAATGACCCACCAGAAATAAGTGGAAAACCATCCGTCGCATATGAATAGCCTTCTCCCTTCTCGGCATCCACTTCAACCATGTGGTTGTTGCCACCAACGGCGTCCGCTGGCTGGCGATATGGGCCCATTATGATGCGTCCTTTTTGTTGCCGCTGCTCCTGCTGAAGCTCCTCTTGCAGTTCAATGACCTGTTGGCGAAGCTGTCGGTTCTGTTCCTCTATATCTATGATGTAACCCGTCATTTCTTTTGGCAGTCTCGCCAAAAAAAAGGGCTCCATCGGCATTCCCGTCTCTTCCAACGCGGCGGCTCGTTTTGCCGCAAGATCATCCTGAATAACCGACGTTGTATAACCAACACCAGGTGAACCTTGTTGGAGGCGTGAACGCATACGTCGATACGTCAAGAGTTTATCTGTCGGATTGGGCCGCCGCATCGACTGCCCATCACCAACCGCCAGACACGAGTCTTCCAGGCGCGTATTGCTGCCGCTCTCTCCTTTTCCCTCCTCCAGTGGTTTGTTCCTCCCGTAATCCATCAGACATTTGGGCTGCCGCAACGGCAAGCCCGGGGCCGCCTCCGTGATGACAGGCGAAGGCTCCCTCGTGCGGGTGCCGCGCAACGGCGACGGTGGTGTTGGAAGTGGCATCGACAAGAACGGCGTCAGGGGGGCTCCCGTTCAGTAATTTCTAGAGTCCACGCCCACCCACCACGGCAACAGTACACAACGACGGCTTGGATGCAGGGACAATAAAAAAGAAAAAAGAAAAACAAGAAGCAACAGGTGAAAGCAGCACACAACAAAAAAGGGAGAAAAAAGGAGACGGCAGAAAAAACAAAAAAAAAGCCCTGTAGAAGAAGAAAAAGACCGTGACAAGCACCCTGCGCGGGGTGGTGGCACAGGAGTAGCGCAGAAAGGGGCTCTATGCCCTTTTCATTCATATGTTCCAGAGTAGAAAAATAAGAGAAATAAGAAGAAAAAGAAAAAAAAAACGTCAAAAGAGCAAAATAAACAAACTGCAGAATGTGTGATGCACGCTGAAGACAAAGAGATCTCCGTCCAGCGGGTAAGCCAGCAAGAATCCGTAGGCCTTGTGTTTTGTTTCGTTTTCTCGAATCCTTTTATTATTTAGAAATTCAGAAAGAAATGTGATGCCCTCGCACAGAAGGAAATTCATTTTTCCTCACAAAGAACCGCCCCTTCTGCCCCCCAGTCTCTCTTCATCATACCTACCTTTAGCAGTTTGCTCCACGTATTCACGGTTTTTACATCAACGTGCAGCACTTTAATGACGTCTGTTTCCCGACTCCCAAGAGAGGATTGGGGTGCACGGGTCCCTCTGCACTGGCATCACCTCCAACCGAAGGTCCGGCAGGTGCAACGTCCTTCCGCTGTGAAAAGGATAATACTTGTGATCTCTCTACATGGGGAGCTTCTACGGGAAAAAAAGCTCCGCTGTTGTGTCGACTCACCGTAGTTTCATTTACCGAAGTGGTAGATATTTTCTTTTTTGCGTTTTTGTTGGAATTGCTAACACCGCCGCCGCCGCTGCCACCGTTGTCGTCCCTGTGGTGGATATTGCTGCTTGAAGGAGCAGACACTAGTGTGTCGGTCTGTGCATCCCGAGCCCCATGTGCCACAGGAGATATGTTCGGTGCAGTGAAAACCTTTTGAACTATCGGCGCAAATTTCACCGGAGGAAAACTTATTGGGACCTCACTTCCAGAAAAAGAAACTCGCGCCTTGTGAGCGTCAGAGAATGACCCTGTCGTCGTGGTCCTGATGTTTAACCCTCCACTTCCTGTGCCCTCTCTCAATGATGAAATGCTCATGTCCAGATCGCCTGTCCCACTGGCGTTGAGAAGGAGCGAGTCGTCATTTATTCCGGGCGGATGCACCGCAAATGCATCTTCTGTCCCCACGCTATTCCTGCCTTTGCCATGACGGCCCTTTGCGCTCAAAGAATTCAGGACACGCCCTGCGGCTTTTCGTGGGCGTTTTGTTTTGGGCCCTACGTTGGTCGTTACCCCCGCTTTCTTTGGGGGTTGAATGAGACTACTGTCGTCGTACGGACCCAAACTCCCTTCACAATCTCTGGACGTCCCCGCCCCGGCTCGAGACGATGGCCCAGAGGGGGGATGGCGCCGCACCCGCGAAGGGACTGGACAAACATCCTCGCATGCTGACCGCTGAGAAGGGCAAATGCCATGCAAATTTTCACGTTCACCCCGACGATGGCTTGCATTTGAGAAATCACACTTCCTTCTTGCTATCCCACGACGACGCCGGCTTGGCGAAGTTGTGGAGGCCAACTTCGTTGAGCGAGGGTTAGCTCCCCCGAGGCTTTGGAAGCCTGAATCGGTCGCCATGCTCCCTGCAGAGTCCAACTCCTCTGTCTGCAGCAATTTCCAATACTCCTCACTCCAGTATTCCTGGTCACTCGTGTCGTGGCCGCCAAACTGCAGCTCCTCCGAAATCGCCTCAGCTCCCTCACGTTCTGGTGGGCAAAGAAATCTAGAAGTGGCTGTGGCCAAAAACTCCCGAAAATTGCTTCGGTATGGAGCGATCTCAGCAGAGAGTGTGATGGTTGGGAGTTTGTTATGCGATTCCGACATGTGCTCGAGAGGAATGGCGCCTGCGGCTCGAAAATCAAGAACGGTGGGCGGCTTGTAGATGACATGGGGCGTCGACAACCGGAATTCGCAAAGATACGGAATCGCAGCAATAAGGTCAGAATTGGGTCCCATCTGTGCTGGGTCCACGGTGGGGTAATACGCGGCTTCATTCTGACAATCTGTCATGTGCGAGCAGTGTCACGCATACGCCGCTGCTGGACTGACACCAAACTGCACGTCTTTTCCTGCAGCGCCTCCGTTTGTTAGGCAATAATAATAATAATGAGCCCCAATATTAATTTGCTGAACGTATTTCCGTGGCCCTAACACCACACCCTCACACCAGCCCAATGTCCGGTTTCTTCTTCTTTCTTATTTTTTTCCACAGCCCCTCACTTACTTCACTTTTCTTTTTGTTTTTTTGCTTTTGCTTTTCTTTTTTTTATTTGTCTGTTCTTCTGTTCTTCCAATTGTCTTCTTTTGCTTTTGTTGTTGTTGTCTGCGTATTGCTCCAATAATTTTCTCGACTGCTAATAAGATAGATAGAAAGATAGATATATCTTTGTGTATGTGTGCGTATATATTTATATATGTTATAACCCTTTCCTTTCCTTTCCTTTCCTTTTTTTTCTTCTTCTTCTCCTCGTGGTGTTAATTACCGGTTTTTTCTCCAGAGAACAGTCACGTGGACTGCGTCGTCGGTCCGCCAAGAAGGAAGTGGTCCGTGCACCGCAATGGGTATGCGTGTATGTGTGCGTCTATATATATAAGCGCGTGTATATTTGCAGCTATCACGCCTTCACGACGCCACGCAGCCCACGCCACTCCACTTGGCCACTGCGGCAGGTCAATCCCTCTAAAAAAAGAAAAAAAAAAACTACAAGACGAATGGAGAGCAAAAAAGAGTGAAAAAAAAGACAAGAAGTATAAAAAAGCACTCAAACTTTGCGAGATTCCCGCAGTAAGCGATTTTCCCACCGCAATTTGACGGATGGAATCAAAGGCAGGCGGTGGGAAGGAGGGAGCGGGAGAAAGAAAGCGGGGTGCCTTGAAAAGTCAAAGATTAACACACACGCATACCTCGGGCGACGCGCACGGAGGGAAATGTAAAGAGACGCCGCAGAAAGAAAGGTGGATAACAAATATGTCTCTATAAATGCCGCGGCGCCGCACCAGCAGTTCCATCCGCCTATTGTTATTATTATTATTTTTTTTGCATGTCCCCTTGCAATACTTATTTCCTCCCCACAAATACATATATAAACACACACATTTGTTGTGTTCCATTTAGATTTTTGTTTTGTTTTAATTTGTTTTTGTTTTTGTTTTTTAATCTGAGCGTGTTGGTCCCCTAAGAGCTCCCTTTGCGGCCTCCCGCGTATATATTTTGATTCATTCTGCCCCCATATTCTCCCCATGTGTGTATGGCTGCTTTTTCCTTAATTTTCTTCCATTTCTTCGAGTATCGTCCTCCTCCCCATTTCGCCGCGACTGTCTGGCCGCACCACGAGCCACGACATCACTTGCGCACATTATCGTGGTATTTGCACGGTCGCTCCCGCCGGCACGGCTTTTTGCTACGCTTAAGAATGACCTCGCAGTAAAGCGGCTCGTACTCCTGCGATACGGCGGCAACGGCGCGTGGTGGCAGCGTTGTTGATGATGCGCCCATCGTACTATGACCCTCTGCGCCACTCCTTACCGACATGGATGGCTCTGACGGCAACTGCTGCTGTTGTGGGGTGAGGCTTCTGCCAGGAAGGGAGACGCTACGCGCCCCGTCATGAAAAATGCCCAGGGAGGCCACTGGTGTGGGCGTGAATTTCATCGCAGTCACGCCGCGCCGCACACTGCCCCCGAATGCGTCTAATGGACTCTTGTCATGTCGCCACGAAGAAATGTGAGCCACTGTGCGGGCAACGTCTTCTTCAAGCTCCTGTTCCTCGCTCCTCAGCGGGTCACCAGAGACGGCAGCGGAGTAAAAAGGGATCAACGGCGGCAGCTCACGACGAAGTGAAGAACGGGAATGATAGGCGTCGGGACCTGGCGGAAGCACATTTTCCCCGCCGTCAAGGCCCCTGAAAAGACCGTACGATGCGTTGCCGTTTGGCATAAGACTACGCAAGTGTGACGCAATCACCTGCACACGCTGAGCGTCTATCGAATGGCAAGACACAGTCTTCTCACACATCTTCAGTGCGTCCGCATAGCGCCGCATAAGGATGTAGAATTCCATCAGCAGCACGTTCGACATGGAGGGGTTTGGGCAACGCCGGAGAATAGACTCAACAACGGTCTCCTCTGGGGTCTGTGGTGTAATGAGTCCGCTCAGCAGCTTCACGCTTTCCGTCTGCAATGCCGCCAAACCAAGGGCGTGGGTCGCTGCATTCCCCCAGACCGTGCCGCGGGACCGCCGGTACAACGCCTCCAGCACCTTGGAGTTGCCACGCCTGTATGCCAAAAAGAGAAGTTTCACAGCCACCGATGGATCCATCTCCCTGGTACTGGAAAGCGTGAGCACAATTCCAGTCAACTGAAATACCAACTCATACGCTCCACTGTACGTCAACCCGTTAATGAGGCCAGGAACAAGGTCCATCAGCGGCGGACACCCAGCACCGTACGCAGCGCCAACATCGACAGGATTCAGGCAATGATCCGCCACAAACGACAAGTAGGCCCAGAAGTCCATGGTGAGCGGCAGACAGAAGGTTTCTAAAAATTCCCCACGAACAGAGTCACGTTGAGCAAACTCATACCGTACCGCCGTCGACCCCTTCTCCTCCGCCTGCCGCTGTTCCCCTTCTTGCTGTTTCTTTGCATGGTTGCAGTAAAGCACAAGAAGAGCCACCGCTGGAACCATCGTCGTCGTCTGCTGAACAACGCTCCTCAACGAACAGAGATCTGAGCAGCTCAGCTGCGAGAGGATGACATCAATGCACATGACTGGTGCTGTGTCAGGAGACCCCCACATGCTCAGTGTCCCCATGGTTGAAACAGACGTCAAATCCATCTCCTGCTCAAACCGAGCGCGCAAATCTGCCTGGCACACGCAAGAAGCATGTCGTGCCTCCTCTAGTCTAAGTGCCTCACGGAGTGAAACGTCAAGCTTGTCCTCAAACCCCGTGGAGCACAGGAGTCGATAAATGGACAGATGGATGTAAACAATGTGAAGTCGTTTAATAAGATGCATGGATACGCTTTGAGATGATTGCACCTCATTGTTAAGCTCACGTTCGCGGTGGAGGGTGGCCACCAAAGCGTGCTGCAAGTGAAGCAACTGGGAAAGTGCCTTCTCTGTGGCGTATAAATCAGACACGTTAGCGGCCACTGATTCAAGCTCTTGTACACCCAATTCGCATTTCTCCCGCAGCCCCGCGAGCTCCAGTGGTGCAGCACGGACGACTTGATGACTCAGCAGTCGAGTTTGTAATTCCCCAAAAGTAAGAATACTTGAGTTCTGCCTCAACGACATCATGCTCAGTGGAGACCCACCCAACTCGCTCTGAACAAGCAACTCATACCCACATTGCCTAAACAGGAAACTGTGGATGTATCCACTCCAGAGAAGCACGCCGTTTGACCACTCGGTGGCTGGGGATGGTAACTGGTACGGCCCGTTGGGGATATGCACCGCAAGGGTTCTAAAATGAACCGCCTTTGGGGTTTGGAAAAGAATGTGAACCCCACATGTGCGAGTCTCACCAGCCATAAGTGCCCTCACCGAATTCTCCGTCTCCTCTGGGGGAAACAACTGCTCGCTGAAAAAACGCACTGGTTCGGGGTCTTCCCCAGAGACAGGCGGTTGAAACCAATACCCGAATAATGAGAGATCGTCACACAGTACCCACAAAGTCAATCCACACGCAAAAACGGCTTGTGTCGGAACGGCAGTTGACGAAAGCTGCAGGTGATGACGGCAACACCCCTCCAGAAACCCATCCTCATCCTCACGCACCTCAACCAACGCCACGCTGCCGTCGTCCAGTAGAGCAAGCACCTCCAAAGAATGGCGACCACGAACCACACGCATCACGCGGGCGTCTTCAAAGTCCCACAGCGTATTATGCACCATATGCTCGGCGCCATCACGAACGCATACAAATAATTCACCCGTTCCAAGAGAATAAACAGCAACATCCTGAGTTCCCACACGAAGGCAAATCACACTGTGGCGTGGTGCCTCCACACTCTTCTTCACGGGAGGCAATTCATGCACCGTCAACACCTGTGAACCTGAGATGAACACAAGTGCCGTCCTCTGATTTCGGCCGGACCCACGACATGCGCAGCAGACCACCACATTTGCCGAATTGTCCGCCGCTGCATCCATCACGTCCCCAATGCCATCCGTGAGTTTTACATCCGCCAACACTGTGCCGCTGGCAGAGATTAGAAGCACCCTGCTGTCACGAATACTACGGCGTCGGTTTCGCCCTGTAGAAATAGCCAAGATGTTGCCACAAGCGAAAGAAGCCCAATCCACGTGCGTTGTAGTGATACGCCGCAATTCTGTCATCTGAAAGCCAGTTGATCAACTCTCTTCTCTTCGCCCTCCCACCTTAAGTCCTTTTATATATATATTCTTTTTCCCCGCTTTGATTCTTTCCTCCTTCACCACACCGGATGTTCAAGCCACGCGTTGTAATGCAGTGACGTTCTTTTATCCCGTCCTTTCACAGCGTGTGCCCGTCTCTCTCTCTCCCTGTGTGTGTGTGTGTGTGTGTGTGAATGTGTATAGGTGAACCTCCCTTCGGCTGCAGTTATTGATAAAAAGAAAAAAAAGAGTAGTGATTGCAAAATTATTTTTTTTCTTTTGATAAAGAAAACAAAAACGGCCATGCACCGCTCATTCTTCCACAGTACATCGCTTAGCCTTTCGCTGTTTGTTGTTGGCATTTCACTCCGGACACGGAGGCGGATGAAAGAAAAAAAAAAAAAACACATGGAGGAGCGGGTCACTCATCGACGAGAGGGCCACTTCTCGGCCAGTCGAAGAAAAAGACGCCCGCAGAGTTGCGCATCGTGCAGCGCGTCGTGTCGCTCATCCCTTCCCGAAGTGTCAACGCCGCAGAACTGGCACGCACGTGACAAGTCGGCCGCCTGGTGAGAGTACAGTGCCCGAAACATCGACTGTGTGCACGTAAGCGGGGCATATTCATCCCACACCACCCGCCAACCGGCCCTCGACACCGCACGCTGCAGAAAGGAGGCATCGAAATTCGCGTTGTGGGCAATGACGGGCGGAAGCGTGAGCACACAGCCGGCGGTGGTCGCCGCTGTGCAACGTTTCTTGGCAGACAAATCGCCGGGCTTGGCACGATAGTTTTCCTCCGTCTGCCCCGACTGCGGCAAATTGCCGTCTAGTTGAATGAGAAACGCGGCGAAATCCGAGATGACATCTTCGAGTGGTGGTGCGTCTCGCAGCATTTCAAATGAAAGGCCATGCACCGCCTCCGCCTGGTGACTGCTGGGCTTCGATGGCCGCACAGTGCGGAAAAACGATCGGGCGCCCAATACCCATTGTTGCAAAGTCGTCCCGTCCCAACGCAGCTCCACCGCACCGATGGAGACAACATCATCACGCTGCGCAGAGAACCCCGTTGTCTCCAGGTCAACGCATATCGCACTCATAAACGCAGGCGGACTTGGATGAAGGATAGTGCGACGCAGTAACGCGGGCTCAATACGGGGTGACTCCGCAGGCCGTACATGTCTAAAGCCGTGGCACAAAAGGCAAACCTCCGGCGCCGACGGCCGTTCCTCAGATGAGTCCAGAGACTTTTTCTGTCGCCTTCTCTCCCCTTCAACAAGAGCGTCCCGCCATGACGGTGGAAGCGACAGCACCACTTCGTTGCGGGTGGAAGCCGCTGAGAAAACGCGCTTCCGACCACGTGGAAACAGGGAATCCAGTGCCGCTGCCACCCTATTCTAGAGAACGTGAATAACAAAAATAAAAGGATAACGAGAGAAATGTGTGTGTGTGTGTGCGTATATTATACATGAACGATATAACTGCCCCATACAAATATTTGCAGACAGAAGCACATACAAATAACCGGGCGCGGATAGAAAAAAAAAAAAAAAAAAAAAGACGGTGATACTTTTACAGGCGCAAAAAGGTTAAGTCAACAATATTGTAACACAAACACAAACACACACACACAGAGAGAGACAGACAGAAGTAAAAAAAAGGGGAAAAAAAAAACACCCGGTAGAAAATGAGAGAAAACAAAAGTCGTTGCTCTATTTGCGTGCAAAAATAATGATGCAAGTACGTCACACGCCGGCAGCACACCTCGTTACCCATCCGTGAGGTTCCCTCCAAATCTGTTTGTTTTTTTTTTTTTTCCTCCTCCCCTTCTCTTTCCTTCTCGGTCTAATTCTTCCTTTTTGTCGCCTTTTTCTTATTGTTTTTATTGTCTGTTTGTTTTTCTTCGTCGCCTGTCCCCACCTTCTTCTCACACGCCCCACTATTTACTTCGCGGCCCCAATTCTACGCTTAATGCTACCTACCCTGGCAGAGCAGCACCAATCACCAACCAGCAATGCAGTGACTTTATGTGTTTACCCCGAATTAAGCGACGGGCACCACCGCCCAGTTTTCCTTCGCCCACCACCACCACCCTCGCAGAGCCGGTTTTGTGCAAGTCTGTGATCTTTTTCCCCTCTTGTTTCCTCTCTCTCTCGCCCTCCCCAGTCTCTACTGGAAATCATTCTTTCCATTTGTGTGTGAAGAGAGTCTGCAACCACTCGCCCTCAGTATTCGATGCTTACAAAATTGTCTCCAGTCGCCTCTTCCAGAACTGCGCCTCAAAAAGACGAGCGCATTGCCCACAGACGCCGATAATCGCCATCCACTGAAGTGTCTTGCGGGTTGAGAGAAGCAGGCACAACATGTCGAGTACAACAAACACAAAGACACCGGAGGTTGGCGTCCCCCCACGCTTTCTCCCGAACCACAACAACAGCAACAGCGAGACGTGTGATGGGACGACCGGCATCGCGTAGAAGATAGACCGAATGCACTGCCAGAGCCCGCCCACCGCCGTCTGGCCGGAGGCGTACGCGTCGTAGATGAGGCAAAGCCACAGCACGCTGAGAACGTAGACTAACACAGGGAAGTAACGGAACTGTCCACGTCCCAGACCCGTAAAGAGTACACCGTCATCTGCTAACAGAAGAAGAAAAAGAGATGTCGCGACGTGTAGCCCAGGCTCACTGCCGTTGCGCCAAATGTTGTGTGTTGTCAGGGCGGACACTGCGATGACGGTGCTGTAGTTCACCAACAGCCCCACCTGCTCCACTAGCTCCAAGGTGAGTGGTAGCGCACAGGGCAAAAGGGACTTGCCGCTCACCCTAAACTTCAGTATGATGGCAATAAAAAGACTCGTGACACCTGCCACGGAGAGTTGACGACTTCTCCCCGCTGTGTAAATCTCCCAAACCAAAGGGGGATTGTCTCCCGCATACTCCTTCAAATTCACGCGTCCCGTTATAACCAACGAGAAGAACATAAAACAAACTGAGACACCGTAAACAATCCACCCCTCATTATAAGACATTTTGCGGTAGTGTGCAACGTCCAGCGTCAGTAATGAGAAGTACACAAAGCCGCACATTCCACAGAAGAGGAGAAGCGTCGGCACTGGAAGCACGTACATGGCGAGTCCAACAGAGAGAAAGACAGTGGTGAAAAACCAATAGAGAGCACGAAAGATAAAGTGCACTGAATTCATCGGAACAAATCTTCCCGCGACAAGAAGCATCATACCCAAGACGGAGCAATATCGGCTTACATCCTCGTCAACAAAATCAAGATCAAACTCAAATTCAACTTCGTGTTCCGTAATTCTTGTGGGTTGTGTAATGAGAAAAATAATGCCCACCACTAAAGCACCACGCGCCACGGCCCGCAGGGAATACAGGAATGGATGCAAATTTTCATGACGGGAAAAGAATGGGTGAGATATGAGGCCAAAAAACACAAAAGAGGTCCCTAATATCACGTGAATACTGTTCGAATCGGCGAGGCGAGTCTGCGCAAAAAACTCAAACACCGCACGCTGAAAATTTCTTGTTGTGCTTGCCGTCAGTGCCAAAGCGCTGAGCACAAATAACGCCGTGAGATGACGGGCGTAGCGATTCTCAAGTTGTCTCCCCTTTTTGAGCTCAAACACCACCAAAACAAAACCCGCAAAAAGCGCCGACCACCAGGTGACCGAAATTTCAATTGCGTGGTAATACCGCTTTTCAGACTCCGACGATTCCGCGAGGTAATATGACCCCGTCACCTCCACCACAAATGTCAGCAGCTTTGCAACGTACGATGCCGCGATGAGGGCAGCCTCGTGTATTCCAAGTGTCTCATTTTTATACAGCCGCGAGGCCAACAGGACACCGACGGCAGTTGTGAATAACACCAGCACCGCGGGGTAGACATTCTCCTCCTTCTGAGAGTACAGCACGTGTTCCACCCATGCCACCTGCAAAGAGTGGACAAATAAGGCAATGACAAACGGGAATTTGTTCGTTGAAAATGACAAGGTAAACGCGACGCAACTGAGCAAGTAGCACCACAGTACACTCATCGCCAACACAGGTGTTGGAACGGTCAGGGACTCCCCAAGTACATGCAAATCGACAACAATAAACGAAAACATGCGGTACATCCACCACATAAGCAGAAGACTCGAGAAAACGGTGAATGACACCATTGGTCCGCTGTTTGTACGATCCAGCAGAAAAAGGTTGAAGGACGACACACAGAGCACCATGAGAACCATAAAAGCCCCGGGGACGCCCGCACTCAGTGCAAAAAAAACAGACGACAAAGCGGTTGCTCCTACTGAAAATACACGTCGTCTCATATATCGAGAGGAAAGTGTATCTTCCCCCCGCGTGTCTGCATCCAGTAGCGTCTTTATTTGATACCCCGCGTACAATCCCAAGTACATGGCAAAAGCCAAACAGACACCATTAAATGGCGGAGGAACCCCATTAAAAAAAAATCTGTAACGGGAATGAAGTAGGCGATAGATAGACCAATGCAAACTGACTGCCACACTCAAAATGAGAAATGGTTTACGATACATGCTGACGGTCTCATGTACTCCGAGAGGATCGTACCCAATTCGATCTCGCAAACTCTTTTTCTTTGATATCAGAAACCACAGGCTATGCTTCGGATCCCAGCAGATGTAGGCAACCGGTCCGCAGATCATGCCAACTGCATTGAGAGTATTGGGCAGCCATGCATCGATAAAACTGCTCTGAAATAAAATATACAGCAAGAACGGGAGGTACACCAACAGCGAAGTAAATGCTATCGCCTCGGCCCTTCCGTTCGCCTGCACCGACTCCACTTCTTCTACCATTTCATTTTCAGGGGCATTGTCATTCTCCTGCCGTAGTCGAACAAGTCTTCGCCGCGTAAGGAAGCTACTTTCCAAGGGGCCATAAAAACTCTTGTGAAGCACACACATGGCTACCATAAACCAGGCAGGAGCGTGCCGAGATCCGACCAAAGCCGTGACGGTAGACAACAAAGAAGGCAATGTAAGAATTGGGGTCACACCAAGCACGCAGCGTTCCATAAAACATATTAGCTCCGGAAAAGAAACTTGCATCCAATGAAAATGCAGAAATGCGGCCATGGCTGCCATAAGGAGTAATCCCAGCAGGCTCAAAAGCATACATAAAGGGCCCACACTTGAAATGGAGGCATGTAAGTTAGACAAAAACAGAGACAGTCCAAATAATCCGTTTGTGCCTATGATCGCTATAATGCAACCGCGACGGTAGCCTGCAAAATCCGCGGCATATGTCACAATACACCCCGTCAGAAAAACAGTTAATGCGAAGGGGGACATTAGAGGGATGGCTCCAAAGAGACCCACTGCTAACAGCAAGATTATTCTCCCAACAAATTTTGGTGGCCCCGTCACAAATTCCAAAGAGCCCTCGCACTCTTCCGCCTCCTTCCCAGTCGTCTCTCCAAACACAAAACCGGTTTCCATTCTGGCCGTCTGCCTCATTTTCTCACGCTGTGCTTGTTCATGTATCCAGTGCTCTGCCGTGGCCTGAACGGCCTCGTTAGCGTATTCCTCCCGCCGCGTATGCGCCTCCTGAAGAAAAATGGGCGATTCGGAGGGATATTGTGCCGCCACACCCTGAAGCCCCGTTTCTGCAAGATACGATCTGCTTTGTGCGGCGCCGTTGTTACCGGGCGGCAGCGGAAACGTTGGAAACTCTGGTGGTCCCCCGGGTGGGGCCTCACTGGACCACATCTGCCCTAATAAAGTAGTGCCCAACTAACAAAACCCAATTCCTGATTCTTTCCACCCGTATTTTTTTTTTTTTTCTTGCCTTTTTTTCTTTTGATTTTTCTCTTTTTCCCTTTTGTTGTTGTTGTTGTTCTTTTTTTCTTCCACCGCCACCACCAGCAGCTGGGATGGAAACGGGGAGAGGCGACTCTGCTCACTCTTCGGCTGAAGCTGGATAGACAGGAGCAGGAAAAAAGGGAAGAAAAGGAGAGAGAGAAAAAAAAACAGCAATGCCAAAGAAAAAAAAAAAGAAGGGGGGACAGCAAAAAGGAAAAGAAGATAAACGCTTCTTCACACTCTTCGTTCTGTTTTTTCTTTTTTTTTGATGTTTTTATTATTTCTCCTTCTTTTCACTCCTCCGGCGCTGTTCTGCCGATTATCCGATTCCCCGTGGCCGCTTTCCTTCCCTTCATTTTATTGGGCGGTTGTTGTTGTTTTTGTTTCCCTCCCACGGTCCGCCCCTGTCCGTCCGCATGCACGGCGGGCCCCTCCATGCATCCCTCTTCATTGCTCTTTTCTCCACGTGGGGTTTGATGCTGGCGCCGTATTTCTCGCATACGCTGCAGTTTTTGAATGGCGTTGATGTCCTCAATCGCGAAAGAAACCATCAGGCGTCGCCTGTCCCCAAAGATGGTAGGGTTGTTGTTAATCGTGCGCAGTGCGTGCAGGGCTATTGGGTGATTGACAAACTCAATGAAGGCGTATCCCCTTGAAGTGCCGGCGGAGTCCTTTACCAGCTTAACGTTTTTGATTGGGCCATACTTGCCCCACTTGTCCTTGTCCATATGCTCCTTGTTTTCCTTGAGGAAGGAGCGCACTGGGGCGGCGAATATGGCCCGCACCTCCTTCTCCAACATGGTGCGCGGCAAGTTGCGCACATTCAAGCGGGTGGTGCTCACAAAAAGGTTGCTGTTGCGTAGCTGTTCCTTGCGGGCCTCGTAGTCTTGTTGAATCATGGTAAGATATTGTGGATGCAGGCCGCGAGCAGCGGGAGTATCCGGAAGAATTAGTCCCTCCCGAAGCAGGTATAAGTGACGCGGGTCATCGGCAGCTACTTTTGTCCGCTTTTTCTTTTTCTGCAGTGCCGCGGAGGTCTCCTGTGAGTCGGTTCTCGAAAGCACGCGATGTACCGTGAAGCGTGTCTCGCGGATATTCAAAAACGGATCACGGAACATGCACGCATCGGTGCGAAGTTTGAACCGCATGCGTTTCGCCTGGCAGTGCGAGAGGTCCGTCGTCTTTTCCTGCCATTCCTCCCGGTTGGCGGCGGCAAGCTCGCGGGTGTTCTGCTGTGCATGTTCAAATATCTTGTCGGCCAACTCGACGGAGCCGCAGTGAACAAACCCCGTTCCCGCCAGTGTTTTGGTCGCCCTGTTGCGCACAAGCAGCACACGGCGCACCTTCCCAAAGCGGGACTCAAAAAACTTCATCATCTCCTCTTCGGACGTGTCTAATGGAAGTCGCTTAAGAAACAGTTGTGTTTCAAGCGGGTCCCGCTGGTTCATGCGCTCCTGTTTCTCCTCATCCACGTCACTTTGCACCTCCCCATCATTATCATTGTCACCATCACCATCAGCAGCAGCAGCAGCATCGCCGTCAACATCAGCGTCACGTGGGCGCTTTCTTTTGTTTTTCCCAAAGGGCTCCCTCTTCTTCCCACTGTTGCCGGGGCCAACGTATGCCCTCGCTAAGGCGGCCTTCCAGTTTGGCCTCTTCTTCTCCAGCCTGCGCCGTAGCTGCTTTCGGATACGCTGATGTGCCTTTTTCTTTCGAAGGGCGGAGGGTGTTGGCTTCCGCTTCACCACACCCGTACCCATCCTGTACAAGAACTGAAATGAGCAGAGAGGCCAGCAAATAAATAAATGAATATAAATAAGAGGAAGGCGCGCAATAAAAGAAAAATATGTGGAAATAAAAGAAAACACGAGGCCGGTGTCAGCACGGCAAGAGAAAACACGGGACACAAAATCTTACGAATTCATCTGCTATCGTAATGTAACAGCCGCCTCTACACACACACACACACACACACACACAAGAGAAAACACAAACATACATCTCTATGTGTTACTGTGCGCAAGGTATTTCCATCTATCATGTGTGTGTGTGTGTATTTATTCCCACTGGGCTGTCAGCAACAACAAAATATATATAAAGAGGGGTGAGTCACATCTCTGCCAGACGGGACAACTTCTGAATGCGATTCAGTAACAAGTCACCATTCTTGACAATGCGGTGATAGTCAAAGTTCGTCGTATCTCCCCTGTAAGTAGTGATGCTATCCGAGACACGGTCCATTTTACATGCAATACGCTCATTCGAGATGAGCGTTCCCAACATGCTATCCAGCACCGGTGGGGGAATGCCAAAGGCTGCGCTCATCGAATTCAACGTGACGCTGCTATAGGAATCCAGAAACTGCGTGAATACCAGCACTCGCACCTCACGAAAAAAGTAGTTCACGTGCTGAGAAAGGTAAACAATGCCTCGCAGATGCTGGCAAACCGTGTCGAGTGCAGAGAACACTTCCTTGTAGCGACAATTATAGATGACTGTGATAAGATGAAAAACATCCTTGATATTGGCGCTCCGCACCTCCGGGCTATCCAAAATCTGCTGCTTCAACTCGGAGCGACTCAGAACCGGCAGGCTTGCGACAACAGTGATGAGGATGAACTCATTGAAATCCATCAACTCACTGGAGGCAAAGGTGGAAATGGAGTCAAGCAGAAGCTCAGAGCCTCGCTTAAAGTCGCGGATAAAGACATGGTAGATGCCCTCGTACACTTTGAGGCGGTTCCGTCGCTCCCAGTCGCCATCCTTCATGAGCCGATGCGCATCACGGACACCATTGGCGGCAATTTCATTATCAGAAAAGGCAATGCCTAACAGAATACGCTGAAAGCATAGATCCAACTTCGGGCCTGCTGCCAGCGTCTTGCCGGAGCACTCCATGTTAAAATTAAGGCACTCCTGCAGGTCGCCAATGCGGGCAAAGTGTTCACACTTGGCGAGGAGACTCTCGCGGACCTCCACATCGCCAAGATTCTCCTGCGCATCCTTCAGGCGCGCGTCCAACTCTTCCAGCTTCTTTGCATTGATAGCATCCATTTCTTGCATTTTCCACTCTTCGAGCGACCAGGCAAAAGATTCACAGATGAAGCGGAGATAGGGCGCCATGTTGTGGTCATATGCCTCTTTTAGTATTTTTGCCTTTGCCTCCTCTCGCTTGGACTCATCCACGTACTGTGAAGCGTATGTGTGGCGCAAGTGCAGCAAAGAAATAAGTGGACTCATAGGAACGGGCTCCTCAATCTGCAACTCTTCTTCCTCCTCATTGTCCCTGAATGTCGTTCCTTTCGTTTGCGGTGGCATTTCTCTTGTTGTTGTTGCAGTCGCCCTGTCTTTTATTTTTCTTTTCTCTTCCTCCTTTCGGTGTTCTCTCTCCTTTGCTGCCGTTCTTCCAGGAACAAAAACACTTCTTGTTGTTGGCGGTCCGTACAAGCGGGTTGGTTAAAAGTTATAATTGTGATCTGCCGCGTGTACAAAAAAGAAAGAAAAGGAAAAGGAGGGAGATGATGCTGGCCGGGTGCAGTGAACGCGTGTATCAACGCCAACACACGGCAGGGTGGCGAAGGCGGTGACAATTAGCGGAGGGCTCCGGGCCTGTGCAGCGCATGAATGAGACACGATATGAAAGAGACCGACAGTGGAAATATTTAAGAAAAAAAAACAAAAGAAAGAGAGAGGGAAAATAATAATAATAATAATAAAAGCCATGGAGCGCAAAATGTACCCCAAAGTGCAAGTCACCCCAGGCGCGATACAAATAGGAGCGGATAAGGGATCCTTTTTAATTTACTCCCATCCTTCCCTCCTTTTCTCCCTTATTTGTGTGTTGCTATCCTTCAAAAAGGCAAAAAAAAAAATATGTGGTGTGAGAAGAGGGAAACCCGTGAGACTTCCCCCCCCCCCCCTCCCCGACGGTGTCGCACTCCTGTCGCTTCACACCTCGCCTCCGCCGTCAGTAGTACCTGCAGTTCTTCAGTATGCTGTCTGTCTGTGCGTCCAGGAGAGCCCATGAGTCGGCGAGCCCCTGCACTTCATCCGCGTCACCAGAAAAGTCGTCGTCATTGTCATGACTTTCGTAAACATCGCTGCTGTAATCAACGCTGGTAGTTGCGGTGCCGCGGCCCGCTCCGCAACGCCGGGAGAGATTGCCCCAAGAATACTCCGGGGATCCAAGCGCGGAAAGGCTCCGTGCGTACCGCTCGACGCTGCTCCGGGAAGGCCTCGGAGCACTCGCCAACGTTACGGCTGAAAGCGGCTCTCGTACGCCACCGATGAACGCCGCGTCGCGAAGGGCTGCCTGAGAACGCAGAAGCCCCAACTCTGTGTAAATCCTTGCCTCGGCGTTTGCCACAAGGGCATCTTGGTCGACAATTCTTGAGTGCACGGAACTACCACCGATAGACGATACATCGAAGCTGCCATCCAACTTCGGCTGAAACCTGCACTCGGCCAACGCCTTCTCCTCCAAAGCCAGACGAGCGCTTTGCACACGCTGATTGCGCCTCTGAACCCACTCCATTGAACGGGCCAACACGCGCTGGAAGCACGCATCCAACGACTTTGTGTTTGGGGAGAAGGGGGAAGGACTTTCCGATGATTGAGATGTGCGTTTCGGCAAGGGTCGCTCATATACAGGTGTCCAAAGTTTTTTAGACACGATCTTTCTTGTGCGTGCACTGATTTTTGGGTGAAATGTCTCCTCTGGTGTGCTCTCATCTTCAGCATGGCTTTGCCGCTTCTTCTCCTGGTCAAGCAGATCGGCCACCACCTCGTCGGGCCCTCGCTGGCGTTGTTGTTTCCCTTCACGTCTCTCGCGCTCATCACGAAAATACCGTGCGAGCACGTACTCCTGGTGCTGCTGCCGCAGTTTCTTGATGAGTAACCGCTGTTCTTCTCCGTTGAGTTCATTGAAACTGACGCGGACACCGTCCTTCACCACCGTTGGTAGTGCATTTGGTTCAAAGAGGGGCTGGCCTGTCTTCTTCTCGTATTTCTGCTCATTCGCCAGTTTGGCGTAGTGAATACGCAACTTCTCAAGTTTTTCCTCTCGACGCATCTTGTCGCTCTCAACACGCTGTAGGTATGAATTGAGCAGACTGCGCCTGCTTTGATCACTCTTTTCACTCATCCCTGCTGTGTCCGTTGTCTCGTCCTCACCCATGTGTTGCAGCAAAGCAATTTTCTCATCAACCGATGCACACGTCACCGGGTGAAAAAAGGGCTTCTCTAATATATCCGACTCGTGCTGTTCAGTTGTATTCGTCAACACGGCTTGGGCTGCACCTGGTGTCAATTGATCCCCGGCAGCTGCAGCAATGAAGGAGAAGGAAGACGGGGCGGCGATGGCACGATTGGGACTCTTGGGCTCCCACAATTTGGGCCATCTCCTGCCTTTCTTTTTGAACTCCTCAAGCAATTGTCGGCTGCGTTCTCCCATTTTCCATTGTATCATCCACTCATCTTCTCCACGGTTGATGCTGTCCTGCGCAGCCTTCTTCTGCAGACGCAAAGCCGCCGTATGTTTCCACTCCAGGCACCTCTCCATGAAGGTAGTGAGGCCCTTGGGGGCTATTTCCTTCGCGGAATCAGATATCGTTGGTTTGAAGGTGCATTCCCTTAACTCCTTTTCCTCAAGTTGCATTTTCTGCTCCTCCCGCCATTTGGCGCTATTTTTTCGTTGCTGCATCCCCTCCTCGTACAGCAGGTTGCCACGCGCGGGGGAAGGGGCCGGTTCGCCAAGGAGCTCAAACAAGTAAAGGAGGCTGTTCACGGACTTCACTGGTGCATCCGCTATGGCCGCGTAGTACAATAGAGTCACCGCCAGCGGAAGGTCCAACTGTTCAATGGGATAGTCGGGGAATACGGTCACCTCCTCAGATATTTTCACGCGTTTGCTGGCAGAGTCCTGTTTTCTCCGTGCGGAAGAGAAAGCTGTGCGCCCCAGATCTTCCAGCAGCTCCGCTGTGGTGTGGTTGTTGTCAAGGAGGAGGCGGTAAACGTCGCGGAGCATCGTTTGGTCGTCAACGCCTACCAATTGCGGGGAGTTATCGTCCTGCATTTCTTTCGGCTCCATCTCGCACTCACTCGCAGCGCCGCAAGGAAGGGAAATCGAGAATCTTGGAGGTGGAAAAGCCAAAGAGAACAAGAAAAAAAAAGGATGCCAACAACCAAAAAAGAAAAAAAAAAAAAGAATAGAAAAGAGGGATGAACCAGCCTCTGCGAGAAAAAAGCTTCACATTTAACCGCGTGCGTTTTACTTCGCGCCATGCTCAATTTCGCTCCGAAAAAGTGACTTCCTCTTCGGCGCGGTGTCAGCGAGGGTGGCGACAGCAGAAAGAGTGGGAGACGGTGCGACCGTCACCTGGCGCTCCACGACATCTCCCACGACGCTATGGCTGGAGGGTCGCTCCAGCACACCGCCTGCAGGAGACAACTTCACAGCGGTAGCCGCACCCTCCGGTGGGACGACATCCACAACATCATGGAATCTGACGCGTCGCCGTGAAGAAGTCGCGGCGTCCACCGTATTGACATCGCCCGCGGATGCCTCCTTCACCACGACGGCTGCAGCACGGCCAATGTCCCCTGGTGTGTCAAAGACAGGGGAAGAATTCGTCACAATTTTTGAGAAATGTGGCGGCGGCTGTGCTTCCTCCCGTTCCTGTGAAGCCTCTACTGCCGCGGAGGGTTGTGCCTCTCGTCCACGTCCCTTCCGCAACTCCTCACGCACTCGCTTCTCCTTCTTGGCGATAATTCTCTCTGTCATTATGCGCTCAACCAGCTCGTCATCCTCAATTCGTTCCCCCAACTCCCGCTCAATCTCCAGCAGCTCCTCCTCGGTCAGTTGGTCCAACTCATCGATCACCGCCAAGTCCCCATCTCTCAGCTCCGGCGGCCACGGTGCCTCCGTTGCCCCGTCGCCGCTCCCCTCCGCCCCTCGGGGTGCCGCAGAAACAACGGCCGTTGGCGTCAAGTCCCCACCCCCTCCCCTCCAGCCGTGAGGGGCATCCTCCTTTGATGCCTCCACCTCCAACATCGCCTGCTTCGCGTTGGGGACCTCCGCGAGAAACAAACTCTGTCGCTGCATCAACGCACTCGCCTCCGCCACAAGAGCACATTCCTCACGGCAAAGAAAGTCGATACGGCGACCAGCGATTTCACGCGCCTGTTTTGCACTGCGCTCAGCAAACCAGCCGTCACCGAGAAGGACCAGAATGTTGTTTGTGTAATCCATCGTCGCCTCAAAATACGCCATCCCACCGGCAACAGGCGCCAAAACAGGTACGCGGCACCTATCCGTAAGGTTTTGCAAGACTTCTTGCAATTTCTCGTACTCCTGCAATTTCCTCCTGGTTTCTTCCAGTTGTTGCTGGTTTCTTTTTGTGAGGTAGTGGAAGAGCTCCGCCCCAGTTAGCGTCATCTCCTCCCCCGTTTCCTCTTCGTCGATCATCGGCTGATGATTGCTGAACTGCGAGAAAAAAAAAAAAAAAAAAGGAATGAGAATGAAACAAACAGTTGTGCACAAAAAAAAAAAAAAAAAAGCAGACGACTAATCAAGAAAACCACCAATCAAGGCATACCAAACACTGATATGTATGCATATATATATATACATGGAAAGAGAGAAAGTAATAATAATAAAATAACATCATCCACTGGCCAGTCGTATTGGATCATGCACACTGTAAAAGGGAAATCTAGTTGTTGCTTTTGTTGTTTTTTAAGGTCTCCTCTTCCTACTTTCGTTCCTTTCTCATCATCATCATCATCTTTTGTTTGTTTGTTTGTTTGTTTGTTTTACCGTTTGTTCGTGTGTTTCCGCTCTTCTTCCATCTTCGCTACGACCCGGCTGTGGACGCAGCTATAAGTGTCTCCATTCGCAGCTTCTCTGCGACACGGTTGTAATCATCCTGAAGGTCATCGTCGTACGGTGTGATGCGCACCGCCTGTTCGAGCAGCTGCAAGGCCTTTCGGTAATCCTTCAGACCGCAGTGTGCCGCCGCCCCCCGTACACATGCCTTCAAGAGCGCATACACATGTCCGCTGCGCTCGCCCACCTTTCGCGCCGCGGCTTTCCGCTGTCGCACCATCTCATCCGCATTTTCGCCCCCTGCGGAGCCAACATCATCATCATCGTCGCTATCCAACAGGTTCGTGGAAAGAGCCCCAGCACAACTCAGGGCGTCTGCAACCTCCTGACAAAAGCTTAGAACACGCGAGGTCTCCTCTAAAGCCTCGCGAAACAATCCTCGTTGCAGCAAAACAGCGCTCAAGTTGTTGCGCGCCTTCACATCATATGGATTCGCCTCCAGCACATCGCGGTACACCGCCGCAGATTCCGCGTACCTTCCATTATAATACAAAGTGGATGCTTCCCGCAACTTCTCCTCTAGTGGATCCTTCGTCTCCAAGAGGCCGCGCTCCTTCATATAGCTTTCCACAAGCTGATAATCCGCCAACACGTCCCCGTCCTCCTCCGGATTACAGTACGCCGATGCGATGCGTAAATCCTCAACGCCCTTCTCGCAACAGTGCCCCCAGCAATATGCCGCTCCACGCCGGGCGTGAAGCTTCATCATAAGATAGCGGTACCGCTCCTGCGTCAATTCGCTTGCCGGAGTATTTGACAGCATAGTCAAGGCCAGCGTGCAGTCCTCAATGGCCCGTTTGTATTCAAACAAATGAATAAAGCAAGCGGCACGGTTTGAAACGCAAGTTAAAAAAGCACCATCGCGTTTGATTGACTCCGTGTAAGCGTCAGCTGCTGCCTGCCATTCCTGGTGCCGATAGTGCTTATCGGCACGTTCTTTCCAGAACATGGGACTGTCCTCTATGCGTGTTGGTTTGTACCGACTTCGACGATAGTAATCTTCCTCCCCTCGGGAACGTGTCGGCATTGTAGCAAGTTTTGGCGTGAATTCTACAGGGACAACAACTGTACTGGGGTGCCGCACACACGGAGCGGCGGTTTCATTTGCCTCCGCCGCCTGCGGCAGCGTGATGTCAGCGGGGGACTGTGGGATGGCTGCAGCTGCTGGAAACTGCTGTCCGCCCTGTAGCTTCTGACGCTCTTTTTTCTGCTCGTCCTCCCAGACGTAGAGGTCCGCCTCGGCCGTCTCCCTCTCTTCCCTCACACGGCCCTCGATCAGTCGCCGCTGCGCCTTCTCCACCTCCCACTGCTCCTCCGTCATGCGCCGCCTCTCCTCCTCCCTCTTCCCTACCCGCTCCTGCAGCCGACGGTTGTAGTCATCCTCCGCCCGCTTCACGGCAGCGGAGCGTCGCTCGCGAATGGCAGCCGCGTCGTTCTTGTCCGCATGGATGCAGAGATCCGGCCAAATTCCGGGCTCCTGCTTACGGAGACGGAGACGCAGATTCGTGCGATCCTCTGGGTCCATGTAATACGTGGATCGCGCTGCGTCGATGGGGCGCAGGAGGTCCAGCACGAGGAGATACGTGGGCACCGCGTTAACCTTCACCAAGACATCCGACAGGAACACGTCGATCGCCTCCTTCTTGAACCCTTTGATGCTGACGCGCAGCAGCACCTCCTCCTCCGTCTGCTCCCACTCGTACGCCGGCCTCACAGGCATCAACGGACAGAACGGAGCTAAAAATCATCCCAGCAGCGCAGCAGCCAAACAAAAAAAAAAAAAAAAGAGAGTCAGAGAAAACAACAACGCACGTCCGACATGATATAAGAAACGAAGCCGTAAACACAAAAAAAACTGGCAAATAAGAAATTAAAAAAGAGGGAAAAAATCAACATAGGCAAACACGCACACACAGCAAAAACGTAAACGTCATACTCGCCAAAAATATTTCGCGGGGGCAAAGAGAGAGCCCGCCAGTTACACACAGAGGCGCATGCACTTCTCCTCGAGGCAAAACGTCAACAATGAAACACCATAAAACACACACACGCACATGCATTTTCCCAGCCTCGTCTCCACCGCAAAATGCAAGAATAACTACAAGCAGGGAGGGGCGGCACACTCATAACTGAAAAACAACTTTCACATACTTTTCCTTCGTTCTCTCTCTACCTCTCCACCTCCATCTCTCTGTTCCTCACTCAGGAAACAATACGCAGCCCCCAACTCATTTACTTCTTCGCTTTTGTATTCCTTATTTATTTCTTTTCTTTTCTGATGGTCGGTTTCCCGCCCCCTCCTCCTTCCCTAGCAATTTGTCTGCCTCCGGCGATGACGGGGCTGAAGCCAACAACACCGACGGGAATGGGCGAGCGACACGCACAAACCACATAAAAAGGAGGGAGCACTTTTTTTGAACGCAAACAAAGACGCATCCCGCCCTCTTCCACCCGTAAAGAAATTCCCTGGCGATCAGACACGCACGCACGCAACATAGGCACTGGCAAAAAAACAGTGAAAAATAAAAAAATAAAAATAAAAAAAGAGGAGACAGACAGACAGACAGAAAGGGATTCATCCCGACCAAAAAAAACAAAAACAAGAAATGCAACTACCGCATGCCAACAATAAATGAATGCATCATGCGGACGTAGGCTTCAAATAAAAAGAAGAATATAGTGTTGCCGTTAAACTTTTTTTTCTCCCTCACTGCAAGCTACTTTTCGTCCGTAATACGTTTTACGGATTCCGTCGTGGACGACAGCAGACGTTCCAGGCCTGGGCGAGCCATCCGAGAAAGGGAACTGACCCCGTCCTGGAAATTCTCACAGAACATATACGGAACATTCCGGATGACGTTCAGCCACCCCGACGCCGTTATCGTCCTCACCGTATACCACTCCTCAGGAAGCACTACATAGAAGGGCGGTAATTTGTCCTCGAGGACACCGTCGTCATTTGGATACTTTGAAAGCAAAATTGAGGAGGGGGTTTCCGGGGCACGGCTCTCTCGCTCGCAACGACCCCTTGGAACAGCAAATGAGGTGCTCACGCATTTCTGATATTCGCAGCAGATCTCATAGCAGTCTTGGCACAAGCGTAACCACTGAGAGGCCACTTGCCGCTTGGCGTTTTTGTCAGGGAGCATCCCGGCGTAAGAAGAGCAACGCTGACAAAAAATGAGGCCACAGCGACGGCAGTGATGCCGCATAACGAGCAAATTAAAGGGACGTCGGCACTTGTGGCATACCTGAGCGGACTCGTTGCGCTGCCACGTCTGCATGAGGTAAGGGTTCTCCACGTACTCGCCCATCGCCCTACGATGTAAGGTCTTCAGTGACTCCATCACCCGAACCGCGTCCCGCAAGGCCTCCGTCTGTCGTTCCAAAAGCAACTCTAACCTGCGTTCTCGCTCTTTCCTCCATTCCTGAGCCACACCCAATGCGGCGTCAACAATGTTGCGCTCAACATCTTTTGCCACACGATTCGCAAGTAACATCATACGAACCTTATCGCGAATGTAGTCACTCTGTTCCTTCTCATAGGAGGGCGTGGCACATTCAAGTGAATCCGATGAAAAAACAGTTTTGGGCGCAGCGGCATCCCTACTGTACATGTTTGGTTTATCAAAACTGGCGGCAGCCTTTTTTTCCATTTCCTGGCCTTCCGGTGCCATGGCACATATCTCGCGTCGTGTGCTTAACGGCCAGGCCTCTTCGTCGTAGCTCACCTCCAACAGGTTCCCTCCAAAAAACATGCTTTTACCGTCACTCCTATTAGGGCTCATTGGAATGTCAGCATTGTCACTATTCCTCCCATTGTCCTCATCATGGGTTTCTGAATCCCGTTTCACTACTGTTTCACCCACAGGTGCCGGGTCTACGTGACGCGTACGCAGTATCACAAACCCATCATTTCGCAATGCATCAAACTCATCTGCAAGTTGCCGACGCTCCTCCTCCGACAGCCACTGCAGCGCCGCGTCCACCTCTTCCTCCGTCAAGCCAGGAAGAGGCCTCTTACCAAACCAGTACGTGCCTCCCTTCGCATCCACCCCAGTTGGCATCGTTGCTCCGACGGCGATTCCCTTGCCAACACCAGAAAGACGTTCGTGTACCCTTTCCAATAACTCGCTCACCCCCATCTCTTCATCTCTGGTCTCTCCCTCAAATAGAGCCTGCTTTCTCCGCTCCATCCACTCAATTGAGCCCTCACGCTGATCATCACCCATCGCCCGTAAGAACGCGGTGGCGGCCCCGATGAGCCCATCCATCCCGTCAATGCTACTGGTGCTCATAAGGCACCTTCGGTACAAGTTTCCCGCCGCGCGTTTGTTCACACGTCTATCTCAAAGATATCGGCTGCCACGCCAAAGCAGTAGTATATATGATTGCACTGCGTATCCTTCCCCTTACCCCGGTTTGCTTTTCTTTTGGTGGTGTTGACTCTCGCCGCCCGGTGAGGAGGCAAAATTGAAGGGAAAGAAAGAAAAGAAAAAAACTCACATATTGAATATTTCATTTGTGTTTTATTTTTGTTGTCGTTAAAATTCAAACAAAAAAGAAAAAAAGTAGAGATAAAAACAAAGCGACACAACCAAGAAAAAAAATATTTTTCTTCTTGAGCAAACACGGCAGAAGTAACCGCCAAATCATTTCTCCCCGTGACTCCCTAAGAAAAGACTGTTTCTCTGCTGCCGTCACGATCCTCAGGAAAACAGGTTCATAACACGCATACAGCAGTACATCGTGGGGAACACAAGAAGAAGCCCATCAATGCGATCAAGTACGCCACCATGTCCTGGCATCAAGTATCCCGAGTCTTTTATCCGTGCTGTCCGCTTCAGCAGGGACTGCAGAAGGTCACCTACAACCCCCATCACACCTAACAAGACACCGGCAGTAAAATTGAGAAAAAACGGTCCCCAACCCCGTTCCAGAACCCCTCCACCAGATGCAAAGTTTACACTCCAAAGAAATATAAAGGCGCCCGCAAGAACCCCCAAAACTGCCCCCTCAATGGACTTTTTAGGACTAATGGATTGGCACAACGGATGCGTCATGCCCTTCATTGATCTCCCCACCAGGAGCGCCACAATGTCAAGAGTGAAGTTCCCCACAAGCGAAGCCAAGATCCACGGCCTCCCTAAACCTTCAATGTCGTACACAAGTATCGGGTAAGTTACCCCCGTAATCCAAACAAAACCAAAGTACTCCAGGCAGAAATTAATAAATAACTCAGCTGGTCCCTTCTCAGCAACCATGCGTAGCTCCTCCCGAAGAAACAGCAAGAGCATTTCGCTTCTTGACTTCTCCGAGGATAGAGAAACTTGCCTGGTAGACGCAGATTGAGCCATCACATTATCCGCTGTTTGTCTCGCAACGGATACTCCCTTTTCTGGGTCGTTTTGGCCAAATAACGTGAGAAGCGTGCAAACAAGGAAGTAAAGAGTCAAAAAAAGCAAAAAAACATCCACTCCTATACAAGCGGCAACAATAACAAGCGATGAAAATGTTGCCTTGACGATTATTACGGCGCTGTGCGAAAAAACTGGTGCGGCATACTCCTTTGGAAGAGCCTCATGCTTGGAGTCGTCCCCTCCGCGTTCAGAATCTAAAAGAATTGCCAATTTGATATGCCGTTTTATTCCTGACCACTCCAACATCCCAAAAAAGAAGAAAAACCAAATAAGCAGCGCACATGTGTATTTGTTGTGCGCCGCAAGAAGCACTGCCGTGGGTCCAACCAGAGCAATAGTAAGACTCCGAACAAAAAGATTCGTATCACCGCTCATGGTGTGGATGTTTGTCGAAACAATTTTTACTTTGTCCGTCGTCATGATTAAAACCCAGTGCAAGACAGTTTGGTTTTCCCCTCTCCCTTTCTATCAGCCAACCCTTTTCAAAGAAAATATATATTTATACACATATACATATAATATATATATATATATATTATACCAAGCTCTCTCCCTCTTCCTCAACCTCTCTCTCTCTCTCTCTCTGTTGCGGCTGAGGCAATTCTAAAAGGAAAAGTGGCGTGGAGGGAATGGTGGGGAAAAATAAAAAAAGGAAAGACACATGAAGAAATATCGCAATAAGCAGAAAAGCAAATAAAGGGAGGGAAAACGAATAAACTCATTGTAGCATGCATCATTTCTCTAAAAAGGATTTCTGCTTCTCTGGGGCGAAAATTCGGGTCCATGCACCTTTTTTAGCTCTCTCCGTCGGTGCCGTCAGCGAGAGAGCAGTACGGACAGTTCTTCACCGCCTCGTCCTCCCACGGGTGCCGCACCATCACCGTCATGCAAGAGGGACAAAGCCATGCCAAATAGCTGGTGTTGGATTCGTCAGCGTTAAACATGGAGCTCGGCCCCTGTGGCAAATTGACAGGCCGCACTACATACCGCTCCACCAGGCGTTCTTGCGCCTGACGATCTGTAACATTTTCATCTTGCGGCAGTCTCTCGGCTACATCCCCGTCCAGCATGTAACCCACGTGAGAAAGGGCAAAATGAGAAGCACATAAGCCTCCAGTAGAGCGCGTCAGGGCCTGAAGTCGACTTCCCACAACGCTACAGAGTGTCGCAGGACCAAACGCGTGTACGGTGGCATGCAGTCTTGTCAACAGTAATGCAGCTGCGGAAAAGGAGCACTCCGAAGCAAATGACAACGCAGGGGCGTCATGCACATCACTAAATACCATCAAGTATCCCCTCGCCGAAGGGGCAGTGGAGAAACCAATGGAAGCAGCTTCGCTTGGTGCATTCTCTACGACACGTGCACGGAGGAAACAGCACGCAGTCAACAACGCGCCAGTGAGGCAACGCCACACATCCACATTTTCACTTCTCTCTTTTTTGGTGCTATCTACTGCGTCTCCACAGCGCAGAATGGCCTGCTGCAAGCAAAGAACCGAGCGACCACTAAAGCGCGCAGTGAGTCCAGTCTTTCGCAGAGCATCATTCTTCAGTTGCTCTGCTGCTCCATTGTCTTCATCCTTAGCTTCCGCATCGTGTGGAACTTCGTTGACGCATGACGTGTACGCGTACCGCACCCCCTCTATCGGGTTGGCACGTAGAACGGCGACGGAAGGAATGAAGTCCGCCGAGCACGTCTGGAGGGAGTGAAACATGGCGGAGACACCATACGCAGCTTGAGAAAGGAGCTCGGGACTGCAGTAGACACCGCTGGAGTGCAGGATGCAGACACAACATGACATCCTTCCGTCCTGTGCCGTGAGTCGACCCGCGACGTTCCCTCCTTCTTCCCGCGGACAAACCCACGCAATGAAAAACAACAAACACAACAAGCCAAGAAAATATAGATAAATATAAGAAACAGCGACAGTACCAACACAAACACCCCGATTTCTACCACCACCACCAACAACAACAACAACGACAGCAACCAACATCATCATAATAATGACAGCACCGGGAAGGAGAATAGCGCAAGGTGCGGCACGGCAACGATGCCACACACACACACACACACACACACACACACCACGGCGGCCAGCAGGATGGACCTTCTCATTCTACGCAGCAGGAGGAGTCGACAGGGCACCCATTCACTTCTGGAAACCCCCACATAAATTAAAGATTATTGGCTCGTGAAAGGAGAAATTTCAAAAACAAAACTTACCGAAGGTCATCAAGACGACCGACGAGTGCTCTCTTGGCGCGGAGAAGCATCTTTTCCTTCAGCTCATCCAACACACAGATGTTATCATAGTCAGCTATCGCCTCCTCCATCTTCTCCACGCTCTCAACCTCCATGGCCTCGATGACACCCTGCACAAGCATATGCTCGCGAGTGAGGTGGTCAAACTGCGTGTCCAGGTCCTGATACTCCTCAAACCGCTCACGCAGCGCGGCTAGATCCTCCATAAAGTTTTCCCTCGTAATCCCAGCGAGTTGCGTCAAAAGCGCCATAAAGAACAACCTTCGCGCCCCACCACGCATCACAGCGTCGTTCAGTGTTTCGCGAGCAAGTTGTTCATACAACTCATGTGCGCCCTTATAGTCTCCCATTCTTGCCTTTGCTTCTGCTACTTTTTGTATCAACTCATCTGCTGACACCCGTGACCCCTGCATCCGATAGTATGTGGAAGCCTTCTCAAGCCACTTGATCTGAGCAGACCCCTCCGTGATTTCGCTCAGGCTTACGCATGTCTTTGCAGCTCGAATGTGCATTTGGTTCCTCTCGTAATACTCAGCAACCTGCCTGTACAACCTCGTTGCCGCATCCTTATCGTTGGCTTTTACGTGGCATCTCGCGGCATCCTCAAGTTCTGCTGTGACATCTACCTCGTTCTTACTAGCCATTGACATCTCAGCAGCTCGCCCATATGCCTTGGCAGCCTTTGCGTAGTTGCTGCACGCCTTGTATTGTGTTGCCGCCTGAATAAACTTGCCGTGAGCCTTTTCGTATTTGTCGCCGCCGAAATATTTAGACAATGAAAACCCCTTGAGGGACTTCTCTGCCTCTTCCACAAGCTGATCGGCCTTGCCCTCCATCCGCGCAATATATTTAGTCGCGATCGAAGCAACAACAGTGTATGCCCGTCCCCTCCGTTCCTTCACTCCCTCCTTGAGTGTATATCCTCACCGTTTACTTTACCTTCTTGCCAAATGTGTTCTCCGCGTGCATCAACAGAAAGAAAAGAGGGTATGTGAAAAAAAAAAAAAAAAAGTGTTAATAGACCATTGCAAATAAATAACCTCCACACTGGATGCACGCAGCTTACTTTACCCTCCATACATTCTCTCTCTCCTTCTCGCCCTATTCAGTATCACTGTCACTGACTTTGTCAGTCTTGGAACATCCAAATTTGGCATACATAGATAATACTGACGGCTGGCCTTCCCCGCTCTCCACTCGCATCGCAGGCAGGCACAAAAATGGGGAAAAAAAAAAAATGAGGCAAAACCACAACAAAAAAAAATGGAAGAATGGGTGAAGTATCGGCAAAAGGCCATGAGAAAAAAAGACAAATGAAAACAACGCCACACACACACACACACGCGTACATGTATGGACAGGTGGGTAGAAGAAGAGACAATGAAAAAGACAGATACGCATGTGATATTTAATTATATATACAACATGGTGACACCCCTTCATACAGAATAAAAAAAAAGTCACCAGCATTACATTGGCATCACCTCCCTGTCCATCGCTCGGAAAAGCATGTTTTTTGTTTTGTTTTGTTTTGTTTTATTATCGTTCCTGTTGTTGTTTTTTTCTTTTATTTTTTTTCATTTTTTTTAAAGTCATGGCTTCGTCTCTCTCCCTCTCCCTCCCTCTCTCTATCTCTGTGCGTGTATATATTTGTATGTGTGTATGTGCGTGTGTGTGTGTGTATGTGCGTGCTTCACTGGTTGCTGTTTTCGTCTTCATGTTTTAATTACGTTCTTCTTGCTTCGTGCCGCCCTCGATGTTCTCGTCTTCTCCCCTCCTTCTTCGCTCCGTGTTGTGTTCTTCTTCCCTATTGTCCCGTCCTCCCATCACGTCTCCTGCCCGCCTGCATGCTCGCACTGTGCTTCCTTCGTCCGGTCCTCTCGTCAGCTAAATTTCCCCCTGGCATCTCTTTCGAGAGCCCATCTCATCCGTGGTGTTATTGTCTCTTCCGTGGGGTGTTGGGTTGACCGGCAATCTGCTCCTTCAGCTCACGCCTCCTGCGATGCGCACGTTCCTCGCGTTCCCGCTTCGAAACGAGCCTTCGTTCCATCTGTCGCCGTACCTCCTCATGCGACACAACTCGATCGCCCTCCCCTTCCTCCAGCCCCTCGACATCCTCGTCGCCACCGAGGTGTGCGCTCGGCAGGCACAATTGACGGACCAGCCGCGCCGCGTTGACGCTGCGTTCCCCCGCCATATTCATCATGGGAATAAAAGTTAGTACATCCTCGTCTCCCTCCAATGGCACTGTTTCTTCTGTTTTCGCTTCAACTTTCTCTTCAGATTTTGCTTCCGCCTCTGCCCTTGTTTCTGCCTCCTCCCCTGCTGGTTTCAATGAGGCTTCGACAGAGGCAGCTTCCTCCTCCTCCCCCCGTGGCTTCGCGGTACGTTCCAACGCACCCTCCTCTTTCTCAGCGGTGTCGTTGACGGTGGTTGACGTGGCCCCCTCCGGAGCGAGGAGGCGTTTTACTTTTTGAGGTGTCGGTAACTCGCCCCGTCTGGCCTCATTGCGCAGATGCCGCTGAAATGCACACATAATTAACGTGGCACGTTCTTCAATCTTCCCAAGAAACTGCAGATGGTTTGACTCCGTGCAACGAGCATTGGCGGCAAGCGCTTTGTTGCTATCCCCCAGGGTGCAACCCAACGCACCAAAGATATCTTCGGTCACACAACGAATATTCGCAAGAACCTCCTTGTGCTGCTCTGTGGATAAATGGAGGCTCTCTAAAAGCTCCTCTGTCTGCGCAAGACGCTCCTCAAGGTCCTTGATAAGACGTTTCTGCTGTTCCTCACTTTCGTGCTCCGCCGCGATAACAGATTTTAGAGTGCAGATATCGCGCTCCATTTCCTCCCTGCTTGTGGTGAGTTCATTGACATACTTGTAAAGAGAGAAATTCATGTCTCCAAGTGACTCATATTCCTTCGCCAATGATAACAAGTCACCGTTTTGTGCGAACTCAGTGAGCTGCCTCAGAACTTCATTAAGATCGGGGTCGTCTTCTGCAGGAGATTCCCTTTCACCCTCCTCATCCAAGCCCTCTTGAGCGATATCGGCAGCGTCATCGAGTGGTTGAAATCGCTTATTGCCCGTGTCTCCAACAGCAGGGGGAGTAGTGTTTGCTGTGCTTTCGAAATCGTCCAACTCATATTGGCGGGCTTCAAGCTCAAGTTGCAGTCTTTGCTGCTCCTCCCGCAGCTCTCGGATCTCCACCATGGCCATATCCAACTCCCGCACCTTCCCATCATAGTCCTGCTTCTGCTCGTTAATAGCCTTCTTCAGCTGCTCCACCTGACGCAGATATCCGTCACGCTCGTCCAGGTCTTTGTTCGACTGCTCAATGCGTTCTGACATAAGTTTCTTCTTGGATCTAAGGTCATCCTCCATCCTCTTGTACACACGCTGAAAGACACGGCGTTCCTCTCGAATGATGCCAATGTGATCACGAAGCTCCTTGTTGTATGAAATAGCGTCATTGAATCTCGTTAATGCCTGATCCAAACGGTTTTCTAGGATCTCTACCTGACGCTGGAGCGCCTCGGCATTTTCCTTTTCTGCATTCACGCCACCTTTCAATCGACGGCTCTGCAGGAGATCGATTCGAGCCAGTTGGTATTGCCTCGTCAACTCGTTCTTCTTCATCTTTTCAAACTGGTATCGTCGTTCCAAAGAGTCCACTTCGCCTTTCAGCGCCGAGAACTTGTCGGCCTTGACGTAATCGTATGGTACTCCGCTCACAGCTGCTATCTCCTTTTTGAGCCTTTCATTATCCGCCACGAGCTGCTTAATGGCCTCCTCTTGACGGATCACCTCCGCCTGGGCAGCAAGGATGCCAACGGCCACCTGTGAGCGGCGCCTATCAGCATCAGCAGCCGCGGTATTTGTGGCCATGTCTGCTATCTTGCTTTTGCTCTCCTTGATTACCTGCTGCTGAGTGTTTTACTTTTCCCCCTGATGGAGATACAAAGATTGCTGGCTTACGTTTTCACGTATCCGCTATCTCTGTGTGCGTGTGTGGGTGTGTATGTAAGAACATGCACGTCAAAGAATGGTACAAAAAGTAAAAAAAAAAAAAAACGGAAAAAATCAAATCAAAACAAAAGTCCAAACAAATGCTGCAACCAAATTACAGTAGTGAAACAAAAAGACCAGGCAAGGTTGCATAAACAGGCACACAAGGATCCAGGTTTTTTGTGTTGGCGTTGTTTTTCTTCTTCTGTGGGTGTCTGTCTGTTTTCCTCCTGTTGCTGGCAGGAGAAGGGTCTGGCTTTGTGTTGATGGCCTGGCACCGGATGCCAGTGGGTACTAAGAGCCAGGAAAAAAAAAAAAAGGAATACGCAAAAGCGTATACACACATACAGAAACACAAACCAGAAAAAGAAAAAAATTAAATCACCAAATAGGTTCCCTCTACCAGAAGGGTAGAGAAAAAACACATCTTTTACAACCTGCTCGTTTCGCCGGTAGATTGCCTGGATCTGTCTGCCTCGACTTCTTCACGCTCGTAGCAGAGGATAAACGCATCCTTCGTGGAAGGTCCCTCCAAAAAAGAGGTGCGCCAATCGTCGTATTGAACCCACCTTTTGCAACTATCGTTCAGCGCGGTGGCGGTGTAATGACCATGGTTGATGCCCCCCCTGTGGGTCACGACACCGCGCAGTGAGTACTTTGCGTTTTGCACCGGTGATTCCGGATCCATGTACGGAGTCATGTCCAGCTCCATCGGGAATGCCACACGCGTGTTGTTCTTCGACGCCTCCTCCATGTGCACTCTGAAGCGCTTGAGGGAAATGATAAGACAGGGCGGCATCAAAAATGGTCTTCGCTCAATTTTGCTGTCACGACGCGCCTTGCATTTGCTGCATTCACGGGCGTTGTCCCCTGCTAGGATGTCAGGGGAGTACGTCGACTCCAAACATTCTTCCAAGGTGACCGCATTGTCCATCTCGTTGAAGTGCGGCAAAAAACCGCGGATGGAATGCCGTCTTGGGGTGCACACAGAGGGGTGCAACATGCACTGAAAGCTCTCATTCGGGGCCAACAGAAAATCGTCGTATTCCAGCAAAACTCTTGACTCGCCTGAGTGTTGGCAAATGGCGTTCATTCCCCCAAACTTCATCCACTCATCCTCAGAGTCGTCGAGGATAATGAGATGACTGGTGTCGTGTCGGTGCGTTTGGTACAACACGCGAATTTGGCGCCGGTCATCGCCGGTCAGTTGTTCCCCCGTTATTGGGTCAAGCGCCGGGGCCTGCATTTCGTCCATGGAAGGGAACCTCTCCTTCAAGAAGCGCCTGCCCAGCTCCCGTCCCCTCTCATGAAGGTGACGTGCCAGACTTGAGTAATCGGAAAATACCTTCGCGGGAAGCCACTCCACGTAGCAAGGCTCATGCAGCGCATAAACCGACGTCCTTCTTCCCTTGAGAAAGTACCACACGCGCACCTCCTCCTCATCCCTCGTCTCATCCTTCTCCGCCCTCTTTTGTGTCTCCTGCTCCTCCGGCACATCCTCACGCTTTGAGTCGAGTTCCGTCGCCACAGGAACGGCGGCGGCGTAGAGTAGCTCATCAGTTGCCGGCAACGGCTTGGCATCGTCGCCGTGAATGATGAGCCGGTAGCCATCCAGCACGGACCCTCCCACATCAACTTCTTCCTCGTCGCCCTTATTATTCTTCTCTCCACTGTTTTCGCTACTGCTGATGTTTCCGTTCATGTTGCCATCGTCGTCACCGGCGTAGAAAGAAATGGGCGGCGCTGAAAATGCATGAACGCGAGTCGACACGGCAACGACATTTTCAGAACAAAACTTCTCCGTCAGTTCGCGCACAATGTCCGTGGTGTAAACATCACCTTTCTTATCGCATGTCACTTTAAGCCGCAGACGCACTCTTTTTCCTGTAGGCAACAGAACGATTACCTCCAAAGTGCGCTTCTTCGCCGGCGTCACAACAGTCGCGGTGAGAGAAAGGTTGTTCTCAAACAGAGTAGTCAATGCCCCGCAAGTCAGACACTCCAATCGTGTTTTTGTCTGAAAAAAAAAGAGATGTGGAATAAAACTCCGATTATTATTAAGAAAATCTTTCCAAAAGATCTCTGACATCCTCTGTGTGGGAATAGACGCGTCAGAGTCGAGAACCTCCCGGTAACGTTTAGCAGAGACCGTATTCATCTCTTCATGCATGCAGTCAAGGAGCGCCTCAATAAACTCCATGGCATCCTGCTGTTCATACGAATCAAAGCGGCTTACCGCGCGTCCAATCGCCGTTTTGAGACCGTGAGTATCAACTGACTGTTGCATGCCCGACCACATGTCAATTAGAAGGCACACCATCTCTCTCGTGACCACTGGATTCACGTACTCCGAAAGAGGAAGAAAAAACAAGGCGCGGCGCATACTCCTAATATTGGAGAGACACTGTAGCGCACTGTTCATGTAACATGTGTTGCCAATGTTTGGAAGACCGCACACACCACGTGCCTCCAACGTCAAGCGGTCTATTTTTTCCTGCAAACGCAGTAGAAACTGAAGTTCTGGAGCCTCCGTGTTCGTTTCCGTCGGCACGATTTGTCTCATTTGCCCCACAACGTCCCCAACAGACGTTGTGCGCTGGTTCGAAACCAATTGCGGTTCTTCCAGTAACACACCCCGGACATGTGTAACGTACATATTCACACCATTCTCAGCACACAACGCGGCGTACCACAGTTCTGCATCCAACTTCCCTCCTTCGGAATCCCGGCAGTTGTGGTGGCGCTTTTGGAACTTCCTCAGAGCCCGCCGCATCACCTCCGACACCTCGGCACGGTGTAGAACACGCTTCAAGACTAAGGGCTGACAACCCATGTCTTCAAAGAAAAATGCGAGAGAAACACGCGGGGGACTCAGGCGCTCCTCGATGTTCCGCTGCATGCTGAACACACCCTCCACCAAGTACTTTGGACCACCTCCAAAAAGCCCCCAAAAAAGATCAAAAAGCTCCTCGGGAATAACATCTGACTCTGGACTCCCCTCTCGCAGTATATGCTTCACCGGGCGATCCGAGGAAAGCTCCACCAATTGTAAAGTGTCAAAGGGGCCAGGTGGTGGCAAAGCCGCATCTTCACTGCTACAGAGCCAGTGCAACAATTCATCCATCCATTTGACAGGAAAGAGTGCACCTTTCTTCAACCGGTTGTTGTTTTTCTTCAAATTTACCCGCGTGGCTGTAGTGTAAACCTGAAAAGCCACCTCTTCCTTCTTTAGGGAATTGTTCTCCCCCCAAATCAACTGCATCGGCCTCCCGGAGGAGATCGCGTGTTTGAAATATGGAAAATAGTGCGAAATCCATACATCAAAGTCGTGAATGAGGACGGCATCAAGTTCTTCCACCGATGACGCAGCCAACAATTTCGGAAACCCCGTTGAAGTCGCTAGAAGGTTCTGCGTCAATCTTTCATTCAGTTGCCCAAAGAGAAGCTGAAGTTCAGGTGGAAAACGTCTTCGGCAAAAAAACATCTGATAATAATATCTCTGCACCATCTTTTCAGTCATTTCTCCTAAATGTAGTAGGAATGACTTCCGCGCAACCTCAACGTCGATCTCAGCTTTTCCGTCAGGTGGCAATTCCAGTTCCGCTGCTGACGACTGCAGATGCATCCTCGCAGCCTTCATGGAGCTGAGGGCAAGATCACGCATTGCGGCAAACCACGAAACCTCAAAAACAGCCATTCCATCCTTAAATGGCGAAACCTCGTTGCGTGCCCTGGAGATGGACTTCAGAATACCGCCATCTTCCTGTAATTCCTCCATTCCCCTCATAATTGCCCGCACGTAGGCCTCAGCAGGTGAAATCGGAGCGTGGGTCGGAAGAGGAAAAAATGCCTCAACAGTAGGCGATGTCTCGCACGTACCATTTCCCACAGCCGTTATGGGCGAAGACCAAGAAGCTACACTGCTACTGTAGGCATGCAGCTTCTCCGTACCCGGCAGTGCAGAGTCGTCCGTGAACAAAATATCGTTGTTCACTTTCGTGAGTGCATCTCCGATAAGAGGCCCTAAATCTGTATTGGGAGCCTGATCGCCCATTTCGGCAAACAAGCGCGGTCCTTCGCCGATGCAAAACCCTCTCCGTGAACACACGACGAATGGGCGGAGACAAAAAAAATTAAAAAACGCAAAAAAATTCCGCCTTAAACGCACTGCCGCTGTTGAAGGGCTCAGAGCACCGGCAATGCAGAGTCCTCTTGACCCTCTTTGCGTCTTTACTTATTTTCTTTTTGTGTGTGTTTATTAAATTCTTCTTGAGTATTTGCTTTTCTTTTTTGTATGGTACTCCCTTCCCTTCAAAATGAGGTGGCTCACACTATATATATATATACGGCTGCTTGTTTGCCGTCTGCCTGCTGTCCCAGTGTCCTCTGTTGAGAGAATACCTTCCCGTTCAACAAGCACACAGACACGGACACGGACACACAATTACACACGCCGACAGGCAGCACAATTAGGTGGCGATGCCTCTCGCTGTTATCGCCCCTTATGGAGAGATTAATGGGCAGTCAAGTTACTAATGGTGTTGCTGCCAGCAAGCTTCACTGTCGGAGTAAATCCCTTCACCGTGACGCAACAGCAGTAAAACAATGAATAAAGAGCGATAAAGGCAGAAATTATATACATAAAAAGGGAAAAAAAAGAGACAAATCAAAATAGTGTTTCTTTTTCATCAACGATACGAAGAAAAAAAAAAAACATAAAAGGGAAAAGAAAATGAAAAAAAAAACAAATGAGAGCCTCCAAACACCCTGCAGCTCATCGCACTTCAATTCCTTCTGAAGAATGGCTTCCCTCCTTATCACCCTTCCTATGAAGCAACAATCAGTCAGTGGCGCGCCTCACCATCTTGTGTGCTGCCCGGTGTGCGTCATGCACGCTGGTGGGAAGAAATTCTGTCTTGCTTTCATCCGCCACACTCATCTCACGTACAACAAAAAGAACTGCCAGAAGAGCCACCATGAGAATCATCAGAGCTGTGACTGTGTCCGACGACGTCTGCGTCCCCACGACAAAGCCGTAAATCCCTTTTTTTGTCACAACAATAATGTCATTTATCCCATCACCATTTAGGTCCCGCACAATTACAGGGGCCACAGGAGGATGTTCCAGCGCTATCGTTCGCAGCACACGACCAGTCCTGGTGCTCAGAATACACATATACCTCTCCCCTACTGCTATAATAAATGGATCCGTGCGAAGATACCGTTCAGATCCACTGACGCTCATAGCAGACTCGTCTTGGCCTCTGTAAAAGCTGTACGCAGCCAAATGCGGAAAGGAGACTGCACGATGCATTCGTTCCTTTGCAGACATTCCTGCCATACCTGCATCTGCCTCAGCTGCTTCACGAAGACCGTAGAAACCGGCAGCCGTTTGAGAACGCCATATCACCCGACGACGCGAAGGATCCACACAAGTAACCAATCCAGAGTCAATCATGAACACTGCGTGCCGTTCTACCTGGAACAAATCCCGGCCCTTCGTTGTGTGCAGCTGCACTACGAGTGGTGTAACACTTCGGGTATTCTTCGACAGAACGCTGCGGCTTCCAATGAGCTCAAGGGTATTGAGTGCGTGAGGAGCGTCCTCCCCTCGTATATCATTATCAATAAAATGGTGAATAAGGTCTAGACGACCAAAAAATCCCTCTGTGTCGCAGATTGTCGCATTGAACAATTGGTCCTCCGCTACAGGAATCCCCGTGTGGATTACACCAAGGCAATCGTCAATCAAGTCCACACCATGACGGGAGTGCATTTCCATCCGTGGTCCTATTTGCGTCCCAATGGCATCAACTTGAAAGTCGTCGTTGATGTCGTGGTAATATACCCCTGAGGATTTTAGCGGTCCCAATCTCGTAATCACACTCCCCGTATAAAGATGAATCACCTCGATGCCATTCTTACTGTGAAAGATCATCGCATTCGCAGCCCGACGACGGCTTTTATTAACAGTAGTTGCCGCATTACCATGCATATTCATAACACCCAATCTCTCCCCAAGAGCTCCGTAGTCCTCCTTGTTCATTCGAATAAGCCGATCCTTATATTTTACCACCACTCTGTTTCCCGCCCGGAAGGAACGCTTCTTTCTGTTCTTGGCATGAAAGAAAACATGTGGATGAATGTGTTCATCCCATGGGTGAGAATAACGGTGCGGAAGAAGCGTAATGATCGCTTCACGGTAAAAAGTCCATGGCTTTTCTTGTGCTCGAAATTGATTTTTGACCCCCTGGCTCTTGAAGATGGAATTGCGCCTCAGTGATGTATCATTGTCGGGAGGGAGACACTCCACCCCATCATTACACTCTTCGCCAAGTACCTCTCCAATGGAATTCTCTGCGTCCGATGTGTAGTGCCATCGCGCCTGGCCATCGGCACCATTAAAGGCAGCATACAACATCAGTTCCGTCCCATTCGGACCTGCAACCTGCATTGCCACGAGAACTGTGCCCTCATCTTGCTCGTGAATCCGCTCCGGAACAACGCTAACGGAGGCATGATACGTCTCGATCCACGAGGCACTCAAAGGAACATCCCACACCTCCGTAAGATCGTGGGGCGAAATTCGACGCAGTCTAAAGTCGTCCGATATCACAACAATTGCGTTTTCCTTGCTTGTTCTACTGAGTTTTCCAGCAGCAATGGCCACGATCCGAAAGAGCGTTTTCAGTGAACTACTGGGACGGATAGAAACAAACACGTCCTCCGAGTTGACTCTCGCCAAATGTGTCTTGAACAGCTCCAAAGATCCATATTTTGTGCTTGCGAGCAACACCGGTCGTCCGTCACCCATTAAATCCAGCACCACGGGTTTACTCATAACATATTTACTGACCTCAGAGTCGGTTACGGGAATCTTAAAGTTCCGCCAAACTATGAGACCGCCCTCCTGAGACCAGCCAAAAATGCAGAAAATTATGGCAACACATACTATGAGGATATCGCGGAGACGCATCAGTAGCGACAAATAGACCTGCAGCACTCAAAAAAAAAAAAAAAATTGATAAAACTAATTTCTTATCCCCCTTTTCAACTTTTTTATTTTATTCCTTGATTTTCCTTAAAACTGCGAGAAAAGGAAAGAGGCAGAAAACACTCACGCACCAGACAAAAGAATGCATCAAAACAGCTCTCACAGTTAATCACGGCAACCAACACAAAAGAGAAGTTTTGGTGAGTACTCTCATCAACAGTAAATCTCGCCACATCGCCAGCGAATGACACCATAGCGTATTTCGTGGTGTCACCGCTGTACTGATGCTGCTTGAAACCACACATTTCTCGCACCGCACTTTGGCCACCAGCATGTATTCCAGAACACTGAAGGGGCTGGTTGGTGTGTACTGGAAAAGAAGGCAAAAAGCCCCTTAGCCCACATTGTAGTAACAACAAGGAATCCGAGAGTTCTCGGCCAGTCTTTGAACCACGCCCACTCATAGCAATTGAATGAAGGGCCTTCGAACCGGCCTATAATTAGCCACGGTGAGCCGCAGGGAGAAGCATAACGAGGGGACTTTACAAGAAGGCATCTAGAAAGAAGAAATAGAAACTTAAGGAAGTTCAAAGTAAATCTCGCCACATCGCCAGCGAATGGCACCATAGCGTATTTCGTGGTGCCACCGCTGTACTGATGCTGCTTGAAACCACACATTTCTCGCACCGCACTTTGGCCACCGGCATGTATTCCAGAACACTGAAGGGGCTGGTTGGTGTGTGCCTTAAAATAAAAATAAAAAGGTAAAAGAAGTGGTTGCCATTGCTCTCAGCTGTCTTGTCAACTACAGGTACAGGCGACGTTGCCCCCAAGGCAGCAGTGGGGAATCAGAATGTCGCTCATATACCACTCATTTCCACTCACACCCTCCCGTCCTCTCGTTTCCCTCCAAAAAAAAGACATTTGTTCCCTTCATGGCTCAGCGATCACCCCTAATAGATGCACATACAAATATGAATAATCTTCCGGGCAGCTGGCCGGATCCTGAAATTATCTATGGAAACCAAACAAGTTAGGAAAAAAGGTTCTTTAGTTAATTGCTTCAATGTTTTATTCTCATTCAATATATAGAATTCTGTGGACCATTAGCATGGTCCTTTGTCCTCAGTTAGGATTTGAAATATTATTACTTACGAAGTGGCAGACTTTGGGGTCCTCCAACCACAAGACCCCGCCGCGTGGTGGGAATCAAGGGGGTGGGTGGGATGGCAAAATAAAATTTAAAATATTATCCGGCCTCTATCGGCTCCCTGCCCCTACAAAGTCGCGTTCTTCCCAAAAGATTCATACGGTAGAAAGTATCATAAAGAATGCATTCATTTATCAGGATATACACATACATTAATTAAGTTAGCCAGCTCTCCCGTGATCATTCTTTTCACAAGCTCCTAGTAAACCCATGAAGGCAAAAAATATATATCAATATCAGAGTCGCAAAGAAAGAGTGTATTTCCTAATCGATAAGTCCAACCTGAAGATACCGACTTCACACACAGCCTCTCCTCTAAACAGCAGCTTCGCCTATGCAAAAGATGGCCGACAAAAATCAGTTCTTCCAGAAGACCACACAACATGTCTTCTTTTCCTCCCCAACTCGTTCACTTGTCTGCAGTTCCCTCAGAAAAATATTTCTTTTATCAGACCCAGTTTTTCTAGTAATGACTCAAAATGCTTCGAGCAATTGCTCCCCCAACCTTTTCCACGATTTCGGGCGATATTGCGAGTAACGTAGAAACCATGCTCCCCCTGAGTGTAATGCATCACAACTTCTCAAAACAGCTCAAAACACAAATTTCGTCAAATTTGCGGGGGAGCTCCATTTCCCCAGATCGCTGAGTCAAGTGATCTCTATCATTCCTCTCACCAATTAGGCGACGAAACCCAACAATCGGTTTTGCCGGAATATTTTCGCCAAGAAGGATGATCTGCTCCAACCGGGTAGAACGCCCACGGGAGGTGTCCACCAGCTCACCACCGGGAAAAGATCACCTGGAAATAACAATAACCCTCCTAACCGCTGGTTCCAACTCTCAAATCATCTCCCCGTACAAGGACCGCACTTTTCGCATCGTCGCAAAGGGACGCAGGAGCTTCTGAACGCTCATGTCGGAAAAAGCATCACAAGTTGAGCAGGTGACGCGCGAGAGCAAATAAGATTTGAAAAAAGCATGAGCCTGTTTCTCCCTTATTCTCTCCTTGTATACTGTTAGGCGTCCAATCGCTGATCTTTGATGACATGCCGTGCGGAAACGGATGTCATTGACGGTAGAATTGTGCCCCAAAAAAATAAAAATAAAGAATAAAGTTCCAGAGACCAGTGACCTAAGAGACAACTTTTTGCAGTTGCGTCTTCACATGGAAAGCGCACAGTCCACTGATTCGCACAATCACAAAGACAGTAACACACCTTTACGTCGAAAGAAACCACTCGCTTCTGCTTTTCTCAGCAATAAGGTTCTCTAGGCTAGACCGGCGGCCTTCTTTTTTTTGTTTTGTTTTTTTTGTTTTGCAAAAGTAGCAGAGAAAAAAAAGACACATTTTTATTCATTGGGAAGAAATATATTGCGTTTTTAATGCCTTGTCATTCTGCGCACGTGCGCCTCTTCAGTTAAACCTATACCGTCCTGTCCCTCTCACCACACACAAAGAAACACACACACACACGGACAGACATTCTCTATCCTTTTCCTCCACCGGTCTTTTAAAAACACATCTGGTTCTCTTTAAAAAAAAAAGAGAAAAAATCAATTTGCAGATGCACTGCATGAGTTTTACATTCAAAAAATTCCGACAACAAAAAGTGTTATAGAGTGTGGCCTTGAGGCCTTGTGTATACCGTGGCTAGCCCTATAACCCGAACAGGGTCAGTTGTAAGCTGAGAATTGTACAGTTTTATACCTCCAGAAGAGCCAGTTGACCTCTTTTCTGACGGGAACGAGAAGGACTGAGATTCTGGCTTGGGCTCAAACCCTGACATGAGGCACTCGTTCACTGAAATCCAAAGCGGTGTCGAACGCTTCAGGGAAGTCAGGTAATCCTGACGTTGCTTACCCAAAACAGGACGCCATTTAGAGTCCAGTAAAAAGTGCGCCGATTTACTTTTCTTTGGAAAAATAGAAAGAATCTCATTGGGGTCGGCAAAATCATCCAAATTGTAAAACTCTTCGACTACATCGTCGCCCTGATCCTCCACTGCCCCCGCACCAATCGCAACAAACTTGTTGAGATGCTTTTTCTCGATTCCGACTCCCATGCGCCTGGCACCTATCGGTGTCACCCAAATAGGGCTAGAAAATTTGTGCTTGAGAGCAAAGGAACGCAGTTTGGCCTCGTCGCGACGACCAATAAGTTTGCCATTTAGAATGGCAACTGAACGCACTGCGGGAACGGCTAAATGGGGTTCCGACAAGCACACAGCGTTGTAGTATCTTCGAAGTGTGGCGTCCTCCGCAAAAAAAACCTTTGTCGAGACACCCCTTCCCTTTGAACCACGTCCGCCTGAGAAACGAGCAATCTGAAGGGCAAGTCCTCCTCTCCCCTCATTCTTATTCTCATCGGCTTTGTCGTCCTGTGTTGTCTCTGTATCCAGCACTTCTGGGCCCAAGGGTTTTAATTTCCGTTGACACTCTCCAGCAAAATCGGCAAATTTCACATTTTGCAGTCCAAAATCTCGCAAATTAACAAAATGGTATGGATATTGGGAATCGTTCACCGCCGCCATATGCTTAACAAGAACCCGTGACCGCATTACCTCCCATCCATTTACATTGTAAAGAAAGTACAGATCAAACCCAAAGGCATCGGAGTGGTTTTCGCGTAGCTCTTTTAATAACATCTGTTGTGCGTCCTTTGGAAGCTGTGAGAGAGAGACAATCAATCCCGTCATATTAGGAGCTAGTACACCCTCACCTTTGCGGCTCTCGCGTACCTCCAAATTCAGATGTTTGAGCTGCTTTTCCGCCACCCACATGGGTGAAGTGTAGCCCCGCATGATACCCACAGCAAGAAGGATATCGTGAGCCGGTTGTCCAAGTCTTTTTCCTGTCATTGCATTCAAAGCAACTCCCTTTTGTGGCTCTCCCTTGTACGGATCATCCAGCTGTTCAGCATTGTACACTGAAATTGAACTTTGTTTCCGGATATCAATGGCATCCTTTGCATTCACTTTCACGCCTAGCTGATCCGCAATGGCAACATCAATGTACAACGCACGATCTTCTTCATCTTCATTCAGGAGCCTTATTAGGCGCTCCGCCGTAACGGCCTTCCACTTCATGCGTGTGGAAAGAATACCAACACCAGAGCCAAAAAATGGTGGGTGCTCATCCATGATGCGCTTCTGTATCTTCTTGGGTAATGTTGTGAAGGGCAAAACCTTTTCCACATTCAGGTGTATCACCGTCGGGGACTCGCCAGGGAGTACCACCGCATTGCAAGTGCGGCGTGACTGTGGCAGCGTCACCCAGTACCTCTTCACATAGTGTCTTGTCCTCGCTACCGCTCGCAGTATGGCCTGACACGATGAAGAAAAGGGAGTATTTGTGACGGACGAGAGCACACTGACTTCGTTGCTCACTGTAGACGGTGTTTTGCGTTTCAGAAGAACCCGGGTGACCCAACACAGCCCCTTCATGTCTGGCACAATTTTCTGTTCTTCTTGATATCTATATGTATATATTTTTACTTATGAAGCAAGACGCAATGATTCAGTTATTGAATTCTCTATTTCTTTTTTTTTTTTTTTGCCTCCCCGTTTCTGTCCTTAGAAAGCAAAAGCCAAGCGGAGATAGACACAGCAATCGTCAACGCTCTCAAGGGCCCTCGTTCTTTTTTTTCTGCTGATATTTCTTGTCTGTACACGTGGTGCGAGAGGGGTGGGGAGAGGGAAAAGGAAGTACTAAAAAAAAAAAGAATGCGCAACAGCAATCTAAAAAAGACTGGGATGCATCCCTCTTTGGGATTTTTAAGGGGATGTGAGGGTGAAAGTATATTTATATCGTGATTTTCCTTTACAAAAGGGTAATAAAAACCAAAAGTTTACTCAAATTTCTCTTTATTGCAGCCTGTAAAAGAAAAAAAAAAAAAAGAACCGCACCTTCGACCTCACAATCTCAAATTAATAAATAGAGGCAAATTATTTATTCTTTTTTTCCTCGTTTATGATTTTTTGACCTCTTTGCAAAGCTACATCGTTCAATTTCACCCACCAGCCCATTTTCTTTTCTTCCTCCCCTCTTCCCCCTTTTCTAGAAAGCGCCTTTTGGACGTATTTGATTCTCACCTCACCTCTTCAGTTAATTACATTATACATATCTTCTTAAAAGTTTATTCCTCAAGGTCTATGCAGACTCGTAGACCTGCTTGACGGAATGTGATGTCCAGTTCACGAGTTCCTCCGGCTTGAACCAGAATGCGATCTCGCGCTTAGCGCTGTCAACGCTGTCAGAGCCATGGCACACGTTTCGGCCCACGTCAACGGCAAAGTCACCACGAATCGTGCCAGGGAGTGAGTCAGCAGGGTTTGTTGCGCCCAGCAGCACACGGCCGCCCTTCACGACACCCTTGCCTTCCCACACCATGCCAACAATCGGACCGGAGGAAAAGTACGCGACAAGGTCTTTGTAGAACGGCTTCGAGGCCAAATCAATGTAGTGCTGCTGAGCCTGTTCAGCCGAAGGTTGCAGCATCTTCAGAGCAACCAGCTTGTAGCCCTTCTTCTCAAAGCGCTGAATGATCTCGCCCACAAGGCAGCGCTGGACGCCGTCAGGCTTAACAGCAATGAAGGTACGCTCACTGGTCATGGTTAAATAATGTTTGAATCTTTTACAATCTTCGATACTGAATATTCAGCTGGAATGTCGGCTGGATCGCAAAATTATCACCAGTTTAATAAAACAAGACGGGAAAGAAGGAGTGTATAGAGAGGCAGTGGGTTCGCCATATCCTCGTCGTTTGCTTCAAGTATATATATATATGGACAAAAAATTTCATAAAATAAAATCAAAAAAGACAACACATTGCTTCAGGCCAAATAATCCAAGGCGTTAAAGAAAACATATATATATATATATATATATATATATATTCATCACGAGAGAGCTATTACACTGCAGTTCCTCCTGACAGAAATCTGTCATTCGCCTTCGCGCAGTGTGTAGCCACATGCATATCGCTCTATTTTTGATTCACTCCCGTGAAAACTCAATAATGTTCCCGTTAACCTCCCACACACCGACCTCCATGTAAGTGTGCAAACACCTCTGAAGATGCACCTCATCCACTCCCTTAATCATGAGAGCTGGGCGCACCTCTGCCAGATCAATACTAGTCCTGGAACGAGCTAACTCCTTGATTGTCGAAAAAATTACGGCATCCGAAGTTGTCAAAGCACGTCGCCCATTGGGATCTGCTCGCTCCTGTAAAGAAATTTTACTGCAATCTAGTAGCCTCCCAGCTTCCCGGACATCAACCTCAGCAACACGCTCCGAAAAACGAAGACGGGCGCACGCCTGAGAGAGACGAATAATACTAAGCAGCGTACGCGCTGTGACTACATTCGTGTGACGTACACTTTGTGCACGCATTTCACAATAAATATCACTAATAGCTTTTGCCGCAGCACTATCAACAAAAGGGTGTATTCGCTTGACCTCACCAATGTAAGCTCGTAAAAAATCTTTCCCAAAGTATTCTGATAAAGAACCATAGAAACCGTCATCCGTAACTGTCCCAGGAGCTACTCCATGAAGATGGACGTGAGTAACGTGCATAGATAATTCTGCATCTCGTTCACGGTTTGATTCATCAAGTAACAGCCACAAAATGTCAAAACGAGAAAGCAATGCAGGTGGAAGATTCACATTTTCGCTTGGAGTTAAGTTACGACGCCAGCGACCATATTTAGGGTTAGAGGCCGCCAAAATAGATGTTCTTGCATTTAGAGAAGTAATAATACCAGCCTTCGCAATAGATACTAGTTGCTGCTCCATCACTTCATGTAATGCAGTTCGATCCGCATCATCCATCTTGTCAAACTCATCAATACAACATATTCCCTTGTCCGACAAAACCAATGCACCTCCTTCCAGCAAAACCTCTCCTGTATGACTATCTCTGGTTACCGCGGCTGTTAATCCTACGCCAGAACTACCTTTCCCTGTTGTGAAAACAGAACGCGGTGCTACAGAGGCAATCCACTTTAGCAACTGACTTTTTGCCACCCCAGGATCCCCCATTAAGCAGATATTGATGTCACTTCGGATACGGATACCATTAGCAATAGAACTACCTCCTACCAGCAAACAGAGTAATGCCTTTTTCACATCTTCCATTCCCCAAATTTCAGGTGCCACACTCCGAGTTAGTTTCTCAATTATGGCTTCCTTGTCTGGATACCTCCGCACATACTCCAACCGGGTTTTGAGATCCTCTGCCGCCTCCTGGTAAGTCCTCTTTTCCAGCTCAATATGCAAAGCACGAAATAAAGTCTTTACCATGGTAGAAGCTCGAAATGCCTCATGGCCCTGTCCAGTAGAAGGATCTGGGCAATATGTTCCGGTAATTTTAATCACCTGTCCTGGGGAAGCAATCCTTGTCTGTTCACCCTCACAAATAACACGAGCTGTACGTGGTATAGCGCCTCGAGGAACATCCTGGGGAAGTTCTTGAAGTCGGAGTTCCTGGTACTTTGTAAATTTACTGGCCTTGTATTGAGGAAGTAGACGGCCAATGGTATTATTTAGTTTACAACGTTGCGATTGGCACACCATAAGTGGGGTGAGACGATCCCCAATCACCTGTTGAAATGTTGTCTCAGCACACACTTCACAAACCGAAACCAGCACAGAAAGTTTAGGACGAACAGCGGTAGCTGCAATACAAATGCCACGCAAGACCACAAGAGTGCCGATTAAGCTACCCTTTAAATGTCTTAGTGGAATCGGTTCGGCGTAGCCACTCAATGGCACAATGATCAGCTCGTACCTTCTTGTTAATAAGGAAGGTAAAGATTGGCCAGCGGCCTTTGCCTCAACTAATAAGTAATCAACCATGTCTTCTACTATCTCTGTCTGTGGGATGAGTTCATCAATGACACGACACAGTTCTTCAGAATAGCCCATGACATTCATTTGTATCCGCTGAGCAAGATACAATTGTCCGTAATGGGCTATATCGTCCAGTTGTAATGTGAAAAGTTTCAACTCTCTACAAGCTATTCTTCTTAAAATCTCCATATACTTCAAGGTCCCAGATAGATCTCGGAACTCCTCAAAAAAACGTTTACATAGCTCGCGGTCCGCCAAATAATTCGGATATTTTGTGGTTGCTGCCGCAGCCAAACTAGTTTTCTTGGCCTGCTCTTGCGACGGCACCTCTGTCATGGACTGAATTCACCTCCAATAAATCAAAAAGAGATGGTTTGGAAAAAAAAAAAAAAAAAAACATATATCCAAAAGAAAAAGAAAAAAAAACTACAATGCAAACCGATTTTTGGTCCAATTGATAGTTGTTATCATTCCTCATTGCGGTTTTTTTTCTAGTCTTTTTTTTCTTTTAAAACACAAATTCCTTCCCATTTCAGACAACCAGCTTATGACTATAAGTGGCGATTGGTATAATTTCAAACAAACTCTGGAAGATACGATAGACCTTAAAATATGCACTTATAAATATATAAATAAATATTGTATGATGCACCCAACGGGAAGCAAACAAAAAACCCACAAAAACTCTACGGCAACAAAATAACAATACAAATTATGAAATTACAGACGCTAAAACCAAAAAAAAAGAAATGCTTTTCTCCACCCTGTAGTGCGAAATACATTTTTTCACAGGTTTTTCTTGGAAAAAAAAGGCATTCATTGGCGCCTGCAAAGGTCATCGAGTGTTCTACCTAGTCATCAAGCGCGATCAAACACCGAGCCCCTGTTATTAAAAAACAATTGGATAAATACAGAAAATAATGGGTCCGCCATTGCATGTGAAAAAAAACTGTATGGTTCATAATCAATTGTCTCATCCAAAAACAAAATAGTGATATTGTCATTCAGGGCAGAAGTCCTCCCGAAGCGTTTTCTCTCCGTTCAATGGAAAGGCGATCCATTCCGCCACCGATTGCTGGAAATCGCTTGTAACAGCCGCCAATTGAGCTTCCAATGTTGCACGCTCAGCATCGCCAGTAGAGACATTCGGTACCGTTTCTTCAGACTGTGGTTTGGCAGCGCTCATTTTAGATGAATTAAGAAGAAGCAACCTAAAGTCATCAACTCCCCCACAAGAGGTTATTGCCTCCTGATCAACTGATTGGTCTCTTTTTGGATATGCCCCGTCACTCTTTGGTGGGACTTCGCTTGTTCCCTCAGTCAATACGTTTTTGCGTGATTTCTCATTTTCAGTGTGCAAAACGTTTTGTCGATATGAAGGTATGCCACCACTCTTTTGTATCTCCAGGCTTTTAATACGAGCTTCTAAAGCCCGTACTATTTGATCATGTTCCGAGGCCATTCGAACTGCTTGTTCTTCAACACGAAGTCGTTGTCTCTGTTCTGATTGCAAACGCTGTAAAAGCATCTTCGTAAAGCGTGTTAAGACACAAACTCTTCCCTCAAGTGTGGTTTTTTCTTCAGCAGTGTCAAAACCACGAACCGCACTTAGTAAATTACTGTACTCAGTGTTAAATTCCTCCGTTTCTAGATGCTGAGCCTCAAGATCCAGAAGCCGGTTACGCTGCTGAGTAAGAACAGAGACCTTCTTCTCAAGGGCCTTATTGCGTTCCTGTAACTCAACTATAATTGCGTCCTCTTCTTCAAGAAGTCGTGTTAAAATCTCGACCTTGGTATAAAGCGCATTTTCATTAGACCCTGGTTTCAAATTGCCGGCACCATCCGTCTTCATGGCCCCCGATGGCATGATATTCATCTGGTACTGTCTTAACTGGGCAGTTAATTGTGCATTTAGCTCCACCTCTGCTTTCCATTTGGTTCTAGCCGCTTCTAATGATTCCTTCATTGTATTAATTACTTCGGCGCCTTCAGTTTTAAAGCGTTGCATCAATGAAATTACGGTTTGACGCTCTTGACGCTCCTTTTTTAAAAGCGCCTCGTAGTCTTGCACCGTACCCAATTGATTGACTCGCGCCGTCTCTAATTGTTGAAGAACATCATCCATCTGCTGTCGGAAAGCCACCTCCTCCTGTCGATGTATAGACGACAGTTCCTCTATTCGGGTTCCCAAGTCAGTTAACGACTGCATTCTGACACCCATGACATCTGCAATGGTTTCTTCTAACGCCGTTACGGAGGATGAGCAGCCGCTCCGAGGAGTACCGGCCTGCCGTAATTGAATTTCCGCATTCTTTTGTTTACTGAAAACACATTTATCAAGAACAGGTGTTCTCACCTTTTTTTGATTTTTCTGCACAGAAATAGAAGTTTGTCGGGAACCTGCAGAAAAACCACGTCTACCCATTTTCGATGAAAAGTATCTCTCTTTCGTGTTTGTTGTCTCATTTGATTTGGCCATATTTCCTCTTCCTTTCTAGTGCGCAAGAGTCTTGATAATTATTATTTTTAAAAGTATTGATTTTAAAAAGGACGTAATCAAGCAATGAAAAGACATCATACAATAACAATATTAACAATAATAATAATTTGATTCTTTCAAGATCAGATTACCTGTGGTACCTTTTTAAAAGCACCCACTACTTCCTCATCCATTAGGCAATTCAGTATTGAAGAGGGCAAACACACACACAAAAAAAAAAAAAAAAAACGATAAAGAACAAAAAAAAAAATCAAATTAAAAACCGGTGTCAAATAAAAAATATTATTCTATTTAAGCCAGTCTCTTATTAATCAAAAGTCACCAGTATTTTGCAGCAGGAAAAATAAAAAACCCGTGATGGTCCCAAGAAAATCCCTCGCAGTCAATAAATACGTAAGCCAATAATTCATAAGTCCTGCACCCTCAATAAAAAAAGGTAATGTTAGAGCTTAAAAATTTTTTTCGTAAGAAAAAAGTGATCCTCAATTCTTCTCTTTCGAGCCCCGTTCAAAGTTCAAAAGCAACTCTTAAATTAAAGCCCCCAAATAAATTAATTTCGCCCTAAAAAAAAAAGAATTTGTTTCTCTTAGTTGCTTGTCAAATTTTGCGCAACGGGAGCCTCGTAATATTTTAAAAAAACTTAGCATGTAACTTGTGCCTAATAAAAATATATAATGCTTCTACGAAAACCAAAATAGAAAAGGTGAGAGCGGCTGCCCTATTGCCAAAACAATACAACCACATTCCACTTCGTAAAAAGTGGCTTTGAGCCCAAATCATATTTGACAAAAATACGCAACCCAACAATATACTCCAGCAGAATAATTGACAAAACAGGGCAACAGTGTCTTCCATATATTGTAGAGGAACGCGCATCGCTTTTGCTCAGGCAAGATGGGAAAAATCACAACCTCCCAGCGTATATATTTTTAAAAGAGAAAATTTGAAAATCCCCTCCTAAAACACCTCAAAAAGGATAACAAAATCCCTTACGGATAAACATGCCTCCAAAAAGCAAATATTCGCCTGACTGAGTTCTTCGCCTCCATTCCAATAAAAAGAAACATCAATAAGATTGTCCGTTTGCCTCGATACGCCCAGCAGCCTCCAAGTCTAACCAAAGATTCATCCAACACTCATTCACAAAAAAATTTCCATAAGGCAAATGTTACGACAACCGAGCTTGTTCTGGGGTCACGAAGCGGCAATTTCTACGGCAGCGCAATATCTGGAGCCCCTCCACGCGGAAAGCGGTATTGGTGTGTGGAATGTCCAGGAATAAAAGAACTACACACCCTCGCTTCTAATGCAGCACCATTGAAAACAAATCAACCAAAATTTTTAGAAACCAGGCTTTCTAAAAAGGCCTCTCTCATTCAATTATCCTCATGTGATCACATTTTTTTTCCCGCAAGCTTCTACAGTAGAATAACAAAATAAACAGTGAAAATAATAATAATAATTTCATTTAAGTAAAGGTATGATTTCAATCCTTTCATTTCATTGAAAACTAAAAGACAGTACAAAAAAAACTCCCACCCGCACAAAAAAATACAAAAAATTTTTCTAGGTGCACTTTCTAAAACCCAAATTCCAAAATTTTCAAACAAAAAAAAAACACTCCATCGAGCCAGACAAGAGTCTCTGCGATCCTTCTCAACGACGCCCTCATTTTCATCGATTACTGAATTTCATCTAAAAGGCAATCTGGAAACCAACAATAAGAATGACAATAATACAGTGAAATCAACCGCCAAAAGGGGAAAAGAGCTCGCTGAAACAAGAACTTTTCGGTCAAAACAATTAAAAAACTGCCCCTATCGAATAATTCTAGTAAGAACAGAGGAAACAATGAAAACTTGAAAGGTAATTCATAAATATCCCTTAATAAAACTCCAAATTAATATATATATTGAATACCGCATTTAGATTCTAGGGTTAAGATAATACACGTTCCCCCTCTTCCACTGATTCATGTGCGCTCCGTAGCAGCTCGCCATCCCTGCTACCCAAATCTTCCTCATTTAAAAATTCTTTAAGATCTTTCAGAGCAGTTCTCACCCTGTTCTCCGAATGGGGAACCATCATCTGTGCCTCGCCAAGAACACCTTCCTGTTGTTTCACACGTTCCGGATTGTTTTCCTTAATGGATTCCAGACGACTCGTTTCACGAATGACCTCCTTCTTAGCAAACTCAAAATCTTTCAAATTACGCTTAAGAGTGTTCACTTTGATTCTCAGACTCTTCACAAGAGGATCCTCTACCTGCTTGGTGCGCCCAATAAAACGGTTACCACCATCAGCATTATCTGTAGACATTGTCTTTTTTTCCTGTTCTTAATATTTTATTTATTTATTTATTTAATCTTTTGGTTCTACAACCACCGCCATTACGTTACAAATAAAAGACGGGAAAAAACAACTATTTATAGATAAGAAATGATGGCTTTCCTGCAGCATCAGGAGAAGAAAAAAAAAAATTCCACAACGGTAAGAAAATAATAATCTTTTTAACATTTATTCTTACAAATACTCTATTCGGCACTTTGATCATCTGAAAACATGCCACGTTCGTTTACCATGCCATAGTGAGAAAGCACCTTTACAACAGTATCTGTTGAAAAATCATCAGTTCCCCCAAACTCATCAAAACCAATAATGCTGTAAAACGTTTTCTTGTTCTCAATAAGCATCAACGTCGGTAACATCATTACGTTAAATCGTTCAGCAAGAGCGGGAAGTCTCTCAACATCAACGTAGCAGAATCGTGTCTCAAAATGCTTTGATGCAATAGCTCGAAGGTGTCGCTCCAGGATAGAACAACGCAAGGTGCTTCTTCTCATAAAGTGGAGAACGACACGTTCAGATTGTTCCACAGCATTAAAAAACTCCTTTGGGTCTGCCATTTCTTGCAGTTGGCCATGCCCCTTTCTCAACCACGCGTCTCGACGCTCTCCCATCTCTCTTAGTGCCTTCAGACGCTTGCGTCGGAGTTCCATCAATTCGTCATCATCCAAGTTATCTATATGTTCCATCTCATCGTCAACAGCCCGCTCTATATTCTCTGCGATCCGCAGAAGAGCATTTTCCGACAGTTTCTCCATTATTCTTCTTACAAACTATAAAGAAAGCAAATAAAAAATAAAATAAAAATGAGTTTTCATGCAATACAATAAAAATCATTTAAAAACCACACATTTGCTTTGTTTATTTCGGCGTGTGCGTTATCCTTTAGTCTTCAAAACCAAACTTTTCTTTTCTAAGGTTAATGCTACTCTTTTTTTTTTTTTTTTTTTTTTTTTTTGGGTGTTGCTGTTGTTTCGTTTTTTCAGAATAAAAAAGTCATACATCTCTCCCAACTAAAGAAAATCATATATTGTGTTGCTTTTTGTGCATGATGCCAGTACATCTTCGTCACTTTTCCCTCTAATCTGACGAAGAAACTGATACGACGGGCACCCCGTGGAATTAACTGAGGGAAAAACACATCGACTAAACTGCCTAATAACAAGAATAGAACGCCAAAAGCTAAAATTGCCAGTTACTACGTCTCCCAAATCCCGGAAAAGGACATTTGGAAAATATCGAAGACCATGAACATAACCATCTCTTAATTGAAGAACCCAGTCGGTCAAAATGGGAAGAGGGTACGTTCCATCTCTCGTTCGGGAATATAAACGGGCCGTCCAGCGCAGTGCATTACAGGAAACTGCTTGCTGTTTTGCGTCCAGTCTATTTTTATTTTGTTCTATGAACTCTCCAATTTCAGTTAACAAAGAATTGTATAGCTTTCTTGTCTCAGAGTGGTCAAGATTTCTAGAATCCCCATACTTGGCTTTCAGCGCACTAAACAAATATCTTTCGGGCAAATTCCTCGGAAAAGGTTCTTGCTGAGGTATCAAGGCCAATAACAATGCAAGAACTATAACGACCACATAAATAAGCCGAAATATACGCATCTTCTTTAGGAAATGTCTTTAAACAAAAAATATATAGACAAAAAAGTCGTCACATACAACAGCAAACGCAAAGAAATAGCAAAAAAGCAATAAATCATGGCATCCATCAAAATAAAAAAAATATTTGTCTGTGCCGCCGGCCGGATCCTGAAATTTCCTAAAGAAACCAAACAAAATTTGGAAAATGGTTTTATCGCAAAGTAAGCTAATTGTTTTAATGTTTTCTTTTCATTCAATATATATAAATTCTTTGAACCGCTAGCATGGTCCTTTATCCTCAGTTAGGATTTGAAATATTATTACTTACGAAGTGGCAGACTTTGGGGTCCTGCAGCCACAAGACACCGCCGCTCCCCTTCGCCAATTCCTAAAGTATAAAAACACGACCGCGTGATATGCCGTCTGTGGGGTTTTCTGCAGACCGCACGTAGGCAAAAGTTGCCTGTATTCCGCGAGAGTCCAAAAACAAACATATCTTTCGCAGATCCCACGTCATGGCGTGTGATTTTGGGCTGCCTTTATTCGCAGCTCCTTGCAGCGAAGTGTTGTCCACCCAAACGTCCATGGTGGATGGCAAGATGGCGGAAAAAGCCGATGAGGCTAGGCGTACCGCGCGCGCCTCGGCCTGCATGATAAGGAAAGGTTTCTTCTCCCATTTTTCTCCGGCAATTTTAACGTCGCCGGAGTCTGGAATGAAGACGGCTCCCCATCCATGGAGCGATGCGTCCGTGATGAGGGCGGCCGATGCCTTTTCCGTGGGCTCGATGATTCGCTTGCGATTGTTCTCGATGGTGTGTCGCAATCTCTCGCCCAAACCAACCGCTGACGGCGGAAGGTTCGCCGGAGATGTCTCCAGTACAATCCCCCAGTTAAGTGCGGATAATCGTCGTCGCACTGCCTTGATGGAAAAGTAGTATTCGCATAAACGCGTGCACAAAATGGCTGCCGCGTACAAAGAGCGTGACGCCGTAACCTCCATTTCCGCGATGGTCAAAGAATTGAGCGACGGCATGGCGCGCACAGACCGGAAAAACCTTTCACTCAGGGACACCGCCCGGTGTTGTGATCAAACAGCGCCCCCAGGAAGGCGTAATGCGTAACGCCCGATTCGCGTTCCTCCCCCATGAATGCGCGACAACTGTCCGCATTACGAAGCGCTTGGGCTTCCCACAACGTCGCGCCGCTTTTCGACCCTGCAATGCGCACATCATCGATCCATAAGTCGATACGCACCAATGGAGGTGCGGCCCAGAGGCGGTGAACCACCGTCGTCACCACCGCAATTGCCGAAGTAATAATAATCTGGAGAATTTCTGGGCCGGCCTTGTATCCCACTGGGAGCCGTGTGAGCTCCACCAGCGTGCCGTCCTCCACGCGGCATCAAAAGAGATGCCGAGTCTCCCGCGGTAAAGAGATTATGAAGGACGACTTCACATCCAGGCAGGAAGCGGCCTCAGCCATCACAGGTGGCAAATAATGGGAAATGTGTAAAAGAGGAACATTCGCCTCGTAAGGGTCGTCTCTGTTCTTGTCGCGTGGCCACGCGATCCGTCGTCGTCGTAAACCGGCGGTTTTCTCCTCCACAACCGAAAAAGGTATTGTCCATCCGCCTGTTATTGTGGAGGAAGCGACCTCGATAATTCCCGCTCCCTCAATAATCGCGCGTCAGCGGTTGGAATCCTCCGTGAGCCTTCGCGCGCTTTACCGGAGGAAGACGGAGGGAAAGGGGACCGCCCGACGAGCCCCCACACTTGCATGAGCCTCTCCAAGGTTGCCGGGTTCAACCGACTTTTAATCCACTCCAGATTCAATACGGGCACGTTGACTTGCTGTAACGGGATAGCGTGTTCATCTTGTGGAGTGGCCAGACGCGTCCCTGTCGCGCGTCTCGTTATTGTAGCAGCGTGATTGTGATCAAAATCATGGAAAAAACGCTCCTCCGCTCTCAACCAGGGTTCCTGCCCTTCCGCAGCTTCTCCCTTCACATCAATGCGACCAGCGACGACACCTGGGTCAGCATTGTGGTGTACCTCCACAAATATCAAACAGTATTCTGGGGAAGGTCGAACGGGTCGACGTGCTTCGCCAACTGCGAGATCACGTGTGGATCCAAATTGTATGTATCCACGATTTGAGCAGCGTGCCTCAACGCTCCCTGTTTTGTGGAATGTGCCGTGGCATCCCAAGGAGCCAAAGCTCGTTCGACTTGAGCGGTCGTAAGATTCGTGAGCTTTTCGTTTTTTTTTTTGAAGTGTCCTGCATAACTTTATGTCGAACGCATCCTGCCCTCACATCCTCACAAACCGCGAGGCGCGGTGGGGATCCGCTTTCGCCGTCTTTCGCGCCACGGACCAATCCAAAATTAGGGTCCCTTCCGCCTTCAGTGTGAAATTGTTGGGTGTCAAGGCCGCAATCTCAGAACAACATCTCGCCGTTATCCACGCAAGTTTTTTTTTTTGTTTTCTACTCTTACCAGCGCGTCTAGCTATACAGTGCCATCTGAGTGCCGAAGAGGTGGTCGAGCAACGACAAAAGTTTCCTGCTATGAAGCAACTGCCATTAAGAGAACTTTCCGAGGCGAAGGTCCTGTTCAATGCCCAGCCGTTGACGCACAGCCAAGGTGCTGTAACATTCCGGAAGCAGATGGTGCAAGGTTTCCTGCGGGCCGATTGGCGTGCTTGTGGAAGCTGGCTGATCCTGCGGCAGCAGAGATCGTCTCCTGGCACTGCTGTTTCGATGTCGTGTGGCGTCTGGGTTGTGTGCGCAGCGACTTCTGTGCTGTGCGGTGCTTCTCCGTGTGGGGAAAACCATGTCACAGAAATCACATTTGAGCTCGGGAAGCGGTGGAGGATGTTCCTGACGAAATAACCGACAGTGACTGACGAGACCCGAGAATCCCGTCAATGTGGAATCACAGTGCGGACATTTCTCCTTCCGACGGCGTGTGAGGGTCCGTCTCCTTACTGGAGAGACGTCTTCCTCCCTCGCCGACGGGGGAACAGTGTCCGTCCCCGGTGCGGTCGGATCGTTGTTAGAGCGCATATATGCAGACTGTTCCGGTGAGATATTGCAGAATCGGCATTGGTTCGTGCAATCTCTCACGGCCCAGCATAGTCGGCCCCAGAGCTCAGATTCCCCGCACCTTGCCCTTGCGAGGTGGACCAGTTCCTGACGGTGGAGAACTTCCTGAGTGATTAGGTCCTTACCGCTGAGATCTGATGGCCTTGTGCCGCAAAGCAAGTATCGATGAGTGTCTTGACGAATGGTACTACGCCACTTGTTGGTGAGCTGGGTAGTAGAACATGTCAGCAGATCCGTATGCCATAAAGGTGCGATCCCATGTTCCGTGTATTGTCCACTTTCCATAGTCTGCGTCGCATACTGATCGGCAAGCTCGTTAGCATGTACTCCACAATGTCCGTAACAAAACTGCAGCTGCACGGACCAGCCAGCACACGTCAGTGTCAAGAGACGCTGCCAGATCCGATCCTCCGTCCAGTCGGTCTGACTGAGCGGGCCCTTGTTTAGAGCCGCTAGAAGAGACTGACTGTCTGTAACCACAAGCAGGGTTTTACGCCTGTGGCGGATACGAGGAATCATCAGCCTCTCTAGGGCTAGAAGCAGCGCACGGGGTTCCGTCCTGTAGCTGCATGGGCGTGCGCCGCAGTTTATGCTGGCCTTTTCTATTATCTCCGATGAGTTGAGGGATGAAAGCAGTATTCCAACCCCTGCTGACTTGGGAACGTCGACACCGCCATCGGTCGCGAGTATCCACGAACGATGGCTGTGCAGCGCCAGAGCCTCTTCGCTGACCCTGCGCTTTTCCCGTATCAGCTCTTCTTCGTCCGTTATTGAGAGGTCTATCGGAAGTTCCACACCGATGGTGACCCGGTGAGCGGAGGCCGCAAACCAGGGAGGAATGAAGCTGCGAAAGAACCGCTCTTCGCGTGGTGAGCTCTCGGTGATGCCATAGTCCTTTGTGTATGCGTCTACAAAGGCATATAGCTCGTCCCGAGATAATGGCGAGATGCGGAAACCGGCGCGAGGCGGTGGCTCAGGCGGGGGTCTCCGCATCCAGTCCATCTGACATGCGCGTGTGTTCCCAAATATTGAGAGCCGCGCGCGCAGGCAAAGGACGTGGAGCGGCGGCATATTAGCCTCCAGTAGTGCGGATTCCGGGTCGACAGTGCTCGGAACTCCGCTGACAATGCGTGCTAGGGTTACGCACGTCTTCTGCATCTCATTCTTCGCTGAATCCGTCGCTACTGCCCATATGAGCTCGCTGCCATAGCGTAATTTGGAAGCACCGTATCCAATGACGAACGTGCGTAGGTCATGTGGAGATGGTCCCGCCTCTTTGTGCGCTATGCAGCGTAGCTGCGATATCCGTTGCGAAGTGGCAGCGCATTGCTTGGTGGCCGCCACATTTAGCGTCAGTCGTGGATCGAGATCCATGCCGAGAAGCTTCGTAGTTCGCGACGCTCCCACGGTCATGACTGGGATTTGGCATCCAGCCACTACCAGGGGCCACTTTCCTTCGCGATCATAATCTGACTCCGTGTGCGTGGAAAGTGTGAACCAAGCAGCTTCACACTTTGACGGGTTGATGGCCAGGCCATTTTCCTGACTCCACGCATGCAGCTTTTCAAGAACCATGTTGGCAGTGGGAATGGCGTCTTCCCGGGACTGCCCCTTAACGATAATAGAGAGGTCGTCCGCATACATGTCTGCTGTGACACCCGCAAAGCTGTTCAGCAGATTGAGAAGTGGGTGTACGTAAAGGGAGAACAAATACGGTCCCAGCACGGACCCCTGAGGAACTCCTCGCAGCATGGGACGCCGATCGCTGTGTCTGTGGCCAACTCGTGTCTTCGCGTAGCGACCACATAGAAAGTTTCTAAGCCACCTTCTACAATCCACCCCCGGAATATTAGCCAGCAAGCGACTGAGGACTCGATGATCTATGGAGTCAAAAGCCTTGCTGAAATCAACCAGCACCA